TCTTCGGCCTTGCGGCGCTGTTCAGCCTCCTCCTGTTCGATCTTCTGGCGGACAGCGTCCTTCAGCTCCTTCTTCTTCTCCTCGTCAGTCTTGGTAGACTTGGACTCGGTGCGAGTGTGGTCGGCGCTGCTGCCGGTGCGAGGGGGGGGAGTCGAAGTGGGAGTCGCAATCTTAACAGGGGACGGGGTGATACGAGCCGGGGAGGCAGGGGCCTTTTCAAACGTCTTCACGACGCCGCTACCGGGGTCCTTGATGACGATCGGGCTCTTCTTGGCAGGAATGACGAACGGCGTCTTCGGGGGAGCAGGGCTGTTCGAGGTGCGGCTGGCGGTGTGAGCATGGCCAGGGCCGGGGGGACCAGCAGGGGGCTGGCCCTGACCAAGGCTAGACCCAGGGCGGTCGTTGGACATCTGCGAGGGCGTACGAGAGAGAGAGGTGGCTTGGGCGGGAGGCTGAACAGGGTACTGGTTCTGCATGTACGGGGCCTGGGGGTTGAACGGCATTCCGGGGCGCGGTTGCGGGGACGGGGGAGTCATATACTGGACACCACCCATGCCGTACTGGGGGTAGTAGCCGTAAGCAGTGGGGTCATAGCCGGGGTAGCCCTGATTGGTTTTCATCAACGTTAGATATTGCTCAAAATTCCCGCTTTCTGGCGCTAGATTGATGGGAGGGATTGGTGGAAGGGGGGCTTTTGCAGTTGAAGCGTAGATGGGTGAAAGTGATGGTCGACGATATGATCCTTTTCTTCGGGTTCCATATCCACGTCGGAAGGGTTTATTATGGGGAGTTCTCACAGTTTGGGGTCCCATCGGTTGTCCATAACCGTACGCCTGCGGGGGCATCTGCGCGTGTGCCATGGGAACCTGGTTCATCTGGGGAGTCGCAGGATGCGCGTTTGCAAGGGCGGGGCTGCGGCTTGCTTGGTGAGGAGAGTTGGGGAAAGGCGCGAGCGGGCGTCCTTGGTTAGGGGCGTGGAACTGAGGGCCCATGTTGGGAGCGCCGCGGGCCTGGTTGGGAGTGGTGCGGAAGTTGGGACCTGGAGAGTAAGGAACCTGACCCTGATAGCTCGACTGAGAATAACCACGGCCGCGACCGCCCTGATGGGGGTAACCGCCACGGCCGGGAACACTACCCATGTGACTGCTCATATCGCTGTGAGTCGACTGGGAAGATTCGCGACGGAGGTGGGTCGACTGAGGACCGGGGCCAAGGGGTGCCTGTGGAGCCGCGCGCATCTGTTGCTAGCGCAAGACAAAGATTAATACCAGCATATCTCAGGTGTGGGTGAATCAAGGTATGCCAAGACAGCAAACGTGCGCGCCCTTGCAAATTTTTTTTGCTCCCCATCCATCTCCCTCTAAGTCGCCCTGGAGTATTTTGCCTCCTTCTTGGCCCTGCCATATGGAGTTGGACATCCAAGAGATACTTCGTATACAATGTAGGGTAAAATCACATAGTGCTGTCCGGGCAAACTGTGCAAATGATGGAAGGGGTCCACTTACGTTGTCGCCAGCATCGCCAAAGCTGCCAAAGTTGGGAACGTTACCCTGCGCCTGGTAGGTCGACGGCGGTGGCCGGCCACCGCTGGAAGCGGGTTGAGGAATGGGGGAAGGCGAAGTCTGGGGGGAAGTCACACGGGGGTTCGCGGGCGGAGTGACACCAAGACCGGCCTGAGGCTGAGTAGCCAAAGACGCGGGATTGCCCATGCTAGGCGAGGACTGCTGGTTGGCGAAGCCGAACTGCAGACTGTTGGGACGACCGGTCTGGCCGCCGTTGGGAATATATCCGGAGGTGCCAGCAGAGGTGATGGTCACCGAGGGCTTGCGGGAGTGATCGCTTTGAGGAGCCGGGGCGCCATTGACGATGGTGACGCCGGGGGTTTGGGATTGCTGCATGGGTTTGCCGCTCACAGGAGATGCTGAGGTCGACTTCCCATGTTGCGACGAGCCGCCCACGGTGACGGGAGCGGCGGTCGAGTCCGTCGCGGACTTCTTGGTGGCGCTGGCGTAGGAACGAGGCGCCGTCGACGGCGAGGCAGACTGTGCGGGAGAGGAGGCGGCCTGGGTCGAGGTGCTCTGTCCTTGAGGTTGGAGGCCTGACTTGGGAGGGATCGAGCTCATTAGACAGGTAATGCGAGGTGAAAAGGACTCAAGCGCTTTTTAGTTAAGTTTTGATGATCGACTTTACGTCGTTCGAGAAGCAAGTCCGTTCGGGGAGAGGAGGGACCTGCAACAGAAGAGAGGAGAGGATGAGAAATCTTCAATAAAGAAAAATGAAGAGAGGGAAAAGATGGAAGAGGGAAGTGTCAAAGGGCGTGTTACAACAAACAAGGTACACGCTCTAGAACCACAACATCCACAAAAAAAAAATCCTCACACAAAATGGGGGAGGAGGGGGGTGGAGGAGGTGGGTGTGAGAGAGAAGGGTAGTGGAAGAGGGGAGGGAGGGGAGTGGGAGTGGTGTTTTTTTCGTGTCAGGGAAGGACGACGAAAAGAAGAAGGGAAGGAAGAGAGAAAAAAAACGAAGACCACGGAACAAGGAAATTAATCACGTCGTGGTCAACGACGATAAGTCTGGGGTAGAAGAAAAGGGGAAAAGGAAAAAAGAAGACTTGAAGGAGAGATAGAAATATTATCAACCTTTTTTGACCCTATTGTTCTTTACTGCTCACTCTCTTACACTCTTGATCTTTCTCTTTTTTTTTTAATTTTTGCCTTTTTGGCGTGGATAAAATTGGGTGGTGGTGGTGGTGGTGGAGGATTTTTTTCCTGCACAGTGTTTTTCACAATTTTTGCTGGGCTGAGGCTGGGCTGGATTGTGGTTGGTATCAGATGTGACCATACCGTATTGTTCTTTGTATCCGACTGAACCACACCAAACATTGTTCCCGGCTCTAAGAGCTGCTCATCTCCGTCTATCGCTATCACTCACACACACATACATACACACACACACACACACACACACACACACACAACAAAAAGTATTCAAATCAATCGATTAGACACATACAAACTCAACAGATCATGTCAAAGTCTTGTGGCAGGTCATTCTGCCCCATCTGGTGGGAGGAAAGATTTCTCGGTGACTCTTTTGCCCAGCAAATGAGACTGCGCACAGCTAGCTTTCTTGACATCTCTCCAGTCATTGACCACCGCGGAAGATCCGCCATTGTCGGGTGGAAGCGGCAAACACACCGAGCCAAGGTGGCTGTTGAGAACTAACCTTGAACTAGTAGGAAAGGTAGTTGGGCCAGTGTCATTATTGGTGGTTTTGAATCGTCGTCTTTCAGACCAGACAGCGCGCTGCCTTGCTCGATTCCCTTCAAAAGTTGCTATCATCCTAGCGGCCTGGCCATAGTACTGTAGTCACTATCCCGGGAGCTGACCATTCAGATCTCCGAGCATCCAGCAACATCATCATTATCATCATCAGCTTATATAGCAATGAGTCATGTCAGGCGTTTAGCCTGTCCAGTGGCCTCGTTCCGTGCGGCAACTGCTTTGCCTGTTTGGTAACATCATCCCACAAATCGGTTTTTGGCCTCCCTGGCGCATGACGTTTGGGCGACCATGAAATCATTGTCATGAGATGGACACCTGAGGCTAAGATACGTTCTGACTGATTACACCCGCTCGTTTGCCACACATTACCGCTCCCAAACCAGCACCTTCACATGATGATACCGTATCAAACCAACCTCATCATTCATCCTCTTCTCCGTCCTTTGACTTGGTTGTGTGCAGTGTGCTTGTCTGCTTATTCTTGTGTTACCTGATATTTGGCGCGGAAAAATCACTCGTTAATTATGTTCATGCCTTGGCTTGATCTCTTTTCTGCTGAAAAGTAGACTCCGATGACTAACTTACTCCTACAGTAATATCACACACACACATATATATACAAAAGCAAGAACCCGAACCCTACCGAGTACTGCAGGGCAGCAGCCAGCAACGAAAGAAGGAGAGAGGTCCGATTATCCAAGCCAATAATGCAACTCCGATCGCCCGGTCAACAAACCACCACCACGTTAAAAACGATCCGAACATTCCAAAGCGCCGCCGCAGTAGATGGATAGATCGGAGACACATCCAGACACACAACGCACACATCCCTCGCTCTGTATTCATCAACAATATTTTCCCCATCTCTGCCACACCGTAGACAAAACTACAGACCGACTCCGAACTTCTAGCTTTAGCTCCCAAGTCAGGTCCTCATCCATCGCGGACGATTCTTCCCAATTGACACCGCAAATTTATTTATAGTCCCTGATCCCGAGCAGCTGATACGACCCTCGCTAGCCGGGCGATCACCAACCCCCAGAAGAATAATATGCATTTGCATCTCTTTGATCTGATCGGCCACGTCTGAACCTGACATCGGCCAGCCGACGCGACGCCTTGGTTGGGCCGACACTAAACTATTTGTTCGTGGATTTTGCTTCCTTACTTGGGGGGGAGGCTGTTCTGCATGCAGACCACGGACCACAAAACACCCGAAGCCTTGAAGATATCGCCCAAATAGGCGCCGTAGTAACTCCGCACTGTTTCTGGGACAATTCTCATACTATCCTAGGTCCGACTTTATCTATACCTTTAAGGGTTTCTTTATTTGCATATGCTCTACAGTATTGCCAAACTATGGCGATTTAAGTTCCCAACATTGATTATGTTCAAGTTCGATTTACTCATGGCTGTTAACCTCTTCAACACTATTGATATATATATACCATACATAATAGACCGAGCTTCCAGGAACCACAAGGTAACATTCTTCGCATTGCAGCCACCTTCAGCCCCAACCACGCATTCTTTCTGCCTTGGTTTGCACCGTCCCATTCTTCCGAGTTAGGAAAAGAAAAAAAAAAAACAAAAAAACAAAACCCGATCGAAATAAAATAAAACATCAGAGGCAAATCAACAAAGTAAATTTGAAGATTGACTCCCTCCCACTCATCTCTTCTCTCACAGGTACAACGAAACCAAAGACACTCGCCAAGAAGTCCGTCATGAATGCACTCTCCAGCCCCCGAGGACTGAGATCGAAAGACTGAGATCGAAAGACTCGTTTATTCGCGAGCCATCGCATCCTTGACTACCTACTCTTACCTCAGAGTATTTTTGCATGGATTAATAAATCATCCTGTGGTTATGCACTCGCCGGGCCGGCAGTAGTCACAGGATAAGCTTTCCATCCTTCCTTTATACATGGCATTATAATGCCGGCATGACACTAAAGAAAAGGGGCCGAGCATGGTGTCGGTTGGTATCAGACATGAGTTTGAAGTGGCACGAAGGATGGCAAGGAGCAAGCAACTAAGCATGAAAAACCCACTAACCCCTCGCCTACGGCAGTAAGGCTGCATTGCCCCCGGAGCACCTGACAAGGAAAGCACCAGCAATCCCCGTGACATGGTCGCATCTTATCCTATCCTCTGTTTCCGAGGACAGTCACTCTACGCCTAGACCGGAAGCTCTAATCGATAAGTATAACCGAATTCCATTCTATTTGTTTGAAGATCCCTAGACCTTTGCAGAAGGGAAAGAGCACGGCACAACACCCAAAACCGAAGAGAAGAATCTCAAGGAAGAACAAGCACCACCCGTTGGATCTTATCTTTTAAGGATGGCGGTTACGCATATCAGTCGATTCGCCGTTGAACCACCCCGAAGACCAGGTACCGTTGGCCGTCCGGGCGGACAGATCCGGAGAACTCCTGTGAAGGTCCTCGTGCTCTACGTGGTGGAACGAGTTCTCGCTCGGGTTCTTATGCAGCGGAGTACCGCCGTATGCGAGGTCGTCTGTCTCCGTCTCGCTGCCGTGCAGTTCACGCTCTTCCTTCGCCAGCGCGCTGCGCAGCACCTCCAGCAGGTCGCGCTGGTGGGAGATGTACTGCGCCTTATCGGCGCGGGACATGGAGGCGATATCGCGGGGCAGCAGGTTACCGCTGGCAGACAGTTCCTCGCCACGGGCTTCGGGGGTCTTGCCGGCGGAGGTCACGGCTGCCACGGCGGAACTGATGGTGGAGAACCAATCGTGAGCGCCGGCAGCGGGGGCGGACGGGGCCGTTGGCCCTCCAGATGCAGGAGCTACGGGGATGTTGAATCGCGAGAGAAGTGACTGCGCGTAGGCAGCAGGACCGGTCGGGGGCGGGGGAGGAGGAGCCGCCGGGCGCTGAGCCGGCCAGCCGAGGATGTTCTCTCGGACGTAATCCACGGCTTGGTAGAAATAATGCAGCCCCAGAGCCTTGGCGCGCTCGTGGCTACGGCCAATGAATTCCTCAATCTCTCGCTCATGGTGGGCAAGGAAAGGATCAACGTGTTCCTGGTATAGGATGATTGCGCCCTGCGTCTGGGGGAGGACAAGGTAGGAGAAGAAAAAGAGGCGGATCCAGCTGTAGAACGGCACCCTGCATCATGTCCATCAGCGCGAGACCAAATAGCTAAGTTCCAGCTACGAACCATCCGAGGATAAAGACTGTCCAGGACTCAGCCATCAGCACGGCGGACAAAACCACCCAGTACATCAGCCATGGTGCCAGTTGAGAGGGGTCGGAGGACCGCAGAGCTTTATATGAGGCAAAGATAGGGAAGAGGATCGTGATGACCGATCTGTTTTCACGTGAGGGTTTGTTAGAATCTGGTCTACCGTCATTGGGGAGAGGGAGATCTCCGAATCTGCGGAGTGAGGGGAGGAGCGGTGGGGTACTGGCGAGGACTTACGAGAACAAATCTGCAATGATACCAAACATGATGAGCTAGCGCACTTGCAAAGACTGACCGCTCCAAGGATTGATTTTTTCCGATGGTAATATTGTAGCGGTTACTCTCAGGGGTGAGGGGATCGATTTATCGGTAAGCTAAGCAGCAGTCGGATTGCGGGGCGGGGAAGCTTCACGCGACCTCCGGATGAGCAGCACAAAGGAGAGCGGCCGGCCGCAGCAAAGAAAGGGAAGAATGAAAGGGCTATAAGACTTGCGGGAGAATTGTGGAAAGAGGGAGGGATAAGTAGTGTAAAAAAATCTTTGCACGAGAGGGCAACCCAGATGAAGCGTGGCTGCCTTGAGCAACTGGGGCCGGATCAGTAAGTAGTACGACCCATCGAGCCCTATTCTGGAGTCGGAGTCTTAATAATAGAAGACATCATCCACCTCAGGCATTCGTGCCGTCACGGGCGGGGCCAGTTTATGGCCTTATGGCCTTATCGGAGCCTTAACAGCCTTGAGGCCTTGCTGCCTCATCGCCCTTCCGCTTTCCGCTTCCTGTGGATTCAAGTTAATCCGGGTGACGTCATGACAGTATTCATGCTGTGATGATCGCATTTCGACAGGTTCGTGAGCATGGAAAATGGGAATCTTTCTCTCTTCCCCTACTTCAGCGAAAGCGAGAAATCCAGGAGACAGATGCAAGGCCGATAGCAATGGCCAGGGACCAAGGGGGTACTGTACTGCATTGGCGGTCTGTGATTCGTCCTAATTGTGGATCGCAGGACAACGTTATCGAGCATTACCTAGGCATGATAGGTGCGACTTCGCTGGCTCCTAGGTCAGAGATCAGGGTATTTGGATCAGTTACACAACCATTGTCATTGACTGACGGTGCATAATTGTTTTCTCTTGATTGAAGCACTCAATATCCGAAAATGAAAGTTCATATCCAGCTAGAAATTGAGCTTCAGTCTATGGCTCGTCCCTTATCGATAAATAGAAATGGCGGCATGCGGTAGCCAGCGAAGTCGGGCGGTGGAGCCAAACTGCCGGTCGTGTTTGTTGTCGGATGACCTCAAGTGCCCAACAGTCGCCTCATTTCCCTCACTCACCGACCATACGACCAGACTTTCGATTCTTTCTCGATATTGAGAGCTTGCTTCAATACTTGAATCGACCAGCGGAGTCAGCTCACACCGGTAGCTATCCACAATTCAACTGCGTGACTGTTCCACAAGCTCCAAAACCCCCCTCATACAAGTGGTGGCCAAGCTCTGGCTTGACATCCGTGGTTGAGCTCCCTGAATTGCTTACCTGCTCCTGCTTCTATTCCGACCATCGAGTTCTGCAACAATGTGTATTGCACTGCTATCAACTGCCCATCCATCATATTCATTGATCATAATTGACAATAGGGATGTACGAAGCAATCCCAACCCAGATGATAGGTGGAGGGCTTTAGGACTGACGACGGCTAGGAATACCTCCGACGACCAACATCCCCCGCCGACTGGTGGCCAGTACCAACATCCGACATTTTAGGTGGCCGAGATCTAGCCCGAGCGACACATGGGACGTGGATGGGGATCACTAAAGACGGCAAAGTAGCTGTGTTGACCAACTACCGCGAGGACACTTCCGAACAGGCTACTGGAGCGCGAAGTCGAGGTCTCATCGTTAACAGCTGGCTGACATCGGCTCCGGACCGACGACCGTCAACTGAGGAGTTTGTGCAAGGAATGGTTGCAAGTCCGTCTGCCAGGAATGTCGGGGGATTCAGTCTTCTGTGCGGTTATGTCAACGAACCCCTGGCCATTGTTTCCAATCGCTCGTCTACCATGGATCATATCGCCTGGGTTGCCACAGAGAAAGGTCAGACACTCGGCCTCAGCAATACAGTTTTCGACGACCGATCTTGGCCCAAAATCCTTGAGGGTGAGAGACTGATGAAGGAAGCCATTGCGGAGCACGCGCAGGCGGGGGAAGAGGAGGATGCACTCATCAACAGACTGCTCAGTATGCTGAGTATTAACACGCTTCCCAAGCTCGCCGAGGATGCCACCGCAGAAGACTACCTCCCATACTTTAGGCAAAGCATATTTATCCCTGTATTGGGAGCTCGCGAGAAGCCTGTCAAACCTGCAGATGAGGTGCCTGCGGGCTGCGTCGAGAACACGACGGCGGAGGATGCCTCTTCCGGGCAACATGATGCTCTAGACCACTCCTTTTTGCAGGGGGCATATGGGACACAGCAGCAAACAGTTATCCTGGTGAGCACAGACGGACGGGTGCGCTATTTTGAGCGTACGCTTTATGACAATGATGCCACTGCCATCCCGATCGGCCAAGGTGATCGATCGTTTGAATTCCATGTCGGCCAACGATGAGAAAAGGGGACTGGGGACTGGCATCTTTGGTAAATTGCAATGCACTTGCCTGCACATGGGTCTTTGCTCCGAATCTCAATGGGTGTGGCTTTGTAAATAGTATAATGATTTAATATCGAGAATGCCAAAATAGCAACTGACTGCAAGCTACTGGATAAGCGAAGTGGGCATGAACTGTTTAGGGACAGCTGGTAGTCTATTCGAGAAATTATCCAGTGCGACTAGAACCGCCACCCGAGTATCCGAGTAAATGTGCGATGAGCATTTAGCTGATGTACAGCACAACAGATTGCGGTGAGATTAAGGCGAATCTCCCACTGTGGTGTAATTTCGGCACGTGCCTGTCAGGAGAGACAAACAAGCAACAAACGTTTCCCTGCCAGAGATTCCCCCCCATGCTGTACTCCGTCCCTCCGTCCCCTCTCAAATCCACATCCACAAACAGACCGGAACGAACAACTGGAACAAAATTACGTGCTATCGTTAACGGGATTCATCCTCGCTCCTCCCCATCATCATCATCAATTGGGAGAAAAATCTTCCTACTCAATGTCTGATTATTCATCATCATGAAGACGCCGACCAATATGACAGGTCGGTCGTCTGGAAATGAGCACTGCGAAGCCTGGAAGTTGGTGGACGGTTTCGGTGGGTCGCAAAGGGTGAATGTCTCAGGTGAAATAATTTCGGACCGGTCCATTAATTAATTGGGAAGAACAGCCGGGCGAGTCGGCGAACAACAAGACGACCAAATCTTGTTCTGAGCTGAGATGAATGAAATCAACTGCCCTCTTGACTGCCAGCACCTCGCCGTTTGTGTGCGTCCTCGGCCCGGAATTATTTAATTAATTGAATCCCATCGCCGAGCGCTCCACCAACGAACGGCAGGCTTGGGACGCGATGCTGTTTCATCTAGATCAGATTCCCAAGCGATTGCATGGTGTGGCCCCACGCCGCCAAACGGCAATTTGACCTGGAGAAATGAAGGACGACGGCTTGGGGCCAGTGCACGCCTCCGAAAAGGGTGATCATGATGGGGACACTTGTTTTTCCCTATTGTGCTAAGCCTTGAGCTGCGACAACGGTGCTGGCCACCTTCTCCACTAAACTCGAACATTCCATGAAGGAGAAATTGAGGGGATGTCGCAAAAATGCCAGAGATGATGTCTGGGATACGGAAATATTTTTTGTTTCCAGCTGGGATTCCTTTTTCTTGACGAGGCGCGAAGGTCGTGGTCAGAGTCGCTGGCGAAGCGCCCAGATATCACATGTAAGTGATATTAAGGGTCCTTGCTAGCTTCGGCGCCGGCCTGGAGCCTACTCATATCGGGGGAGATGGATTTGGGGCGAAAGGTTCTCGACTTTTACATATCCACCCGGGGTGCATGGGTCCCGATTCCTCCAGTGGCGGTCTCAGGGGGATGCGCCCAATTCTGCCTCCGAGATTAAGCAGTGGAACCGTTGAATTGCCAGGGAATCTTCCGCCTAGCTTCGGTGCCTGGACGATCGAGTGGTATAAGAACGAGAGCCCCCGGCCGTTCGTCTTTGCTGCTTGGCACATCACAATCAAGACTGGCTCTTGACGTTCCTTCTTTACTCTCACATTCATTCATTCTTTTCATCAGTCACTCTTTTAATCGACCAGATCGATATACATTCTTTTCAAAATGAGAATCAGCAACTTGGTTATCGCGGCCTCTGCTGCCGGCATGGTTAACGCTCTTCCCAAGCGTGAGATGAAGAAGCGTGCTTCCTCTGGCTTCACCTGTAGGTCATGTCATGCCTTAAGGGATAGAGAATAGCAGTGCTAACCGACGCAGTCTTCGGTGTTAGTGAGTCTGGTGCCGAGTTTGGTTCCGGCGTTGGTACTCTGGGAACCACCTACACCTGGCCTACGACCAGCCAGATCCAGATCCTGAGAGAGGCGGGCATGAACATGTTCCGTATTCCCTTCCTGATGGAGCGTCTTACTCCCGACAGCATCACCGGCTCGCTCGCTTCTGCCTACCTCAGTGACCTCAAATCGGTATGAGCCACATGAGCATAGCCATCGAATCCATCTGACAAAAACAGACCGTCCAGTTCGTCACTGACAGCGGAGCTTACGCTGTCCTCGATCCCCACAACTATGGAAGATAGTAGGTCGACCGGCATTCTGTGCTAGGCGTGGCTAATAATCTACTAGCAATGGAAACATCATCACTTCCACCTCTGATTTCCAGACCTGGTGGAAGACCGTTGCCGCTGAGTTCGCTGACAACGACAAGGTTATCTTCGACACCAGTGAGTTGCATAGTGCCTGCTGATAAAGCATGAGACTAATCTCATCCATCAGACAACGAGTACCATGATATGGAGCAGTCGTTGGTCCTGAGCCTCAACCAGGCCGCCATTGACGGTATCCGTGCCGCAGGCGCCACCACCCAGTACATCTTCGTTGAGGGTAACAGCTACTCCGGTGCCTGGACCTGGACCGAAAACAACGACAACCTTTCCGGCCTGACCGACACTGAGGACAAGATCATCTACGAGATGCACCAGTACCTTGACTCCGACGCCTCTGGTACCTCGGAGACTTGCGTCAGCTCCACCATCGGTAAGGAGCGTCTCGAGAGCGCCACCGAGTGGCTCCAGACCAACAACAAAAAGGGTGTTATCGGAGAATTCGCCGGTGGTGTCAACTCCGTCTGTGAGGAGGCCGTTGAGGGCATGCTTTCCTACATGTCCGAGAACAGCGATGTCTGGGTTGGTGCCTCTTGGTGGTCTGCCGGTCCCTGGTGGGGATCCTACATGTACAGCCTGCAGCCCTCCGATGGCCCGGCTTACTCGACCTACCTTCCCATTCTGGAGAAGTACTTCCCCGATGGTGATTCTACCACCTCTGCTTCCAGCTCCGCTGCTACCTCTGTCGCTGCCGCCACCTCCGCGGCCACCTCCGCGGCCACCTCCGCTGTCTCTGCCGTTCAGCAGACCACCACTGCCGCTCCCCACCCTCAGGTCTCGACCACTTCCGCCGTCTCCGTCGCTGCCGCCGCTCCCAGCAGCAGCTCTTCCGCTACCACCTTTGCCACCTCCACCAAGTCCAAGTCCCCTTGCAAGCTGCACAGCACCAGCAGCGTCTCTTCCGCCTCTGCCACCAGTGCTGTTGTTGCCACCCAGCCTACTACCTCCGCTGTTGTTGCTACTCAGCCTACCACCACCGCCATTGTTGTCAAGCAGCCTACTACCACTGCTGCTGCTGTTGCTGCTACCACCCCTGCCGTCATCCCCAACCCCATCACCTCTAGCGTAGCTGCTGCTAGCGGCAGCGCCGGTGTCAGCGACCCCCAGGGTGCCCTGGCCACGAACGCTGCTGGCCAGGTCAATCAGTACTACCAGTGCGGTGGACTTAACTGGACTGGACCCACCCAGTGCGCGAGCCCCTACACCTGCGAGAAGCAGAACGACTACTACTACCAGTGTGTCGCCTCCAACTAAATCAGCGACCGTGCGGTAGCTCCGGGATGTTTGATTATCTGAAAGGCTAGTATGAGCTGAGGGGGTGGAAGGAGATCAGCTTGATTCTTAATTCTTGTATATATCTAAGAAAAATCCATTAGGGATATCCCCATACAATATAGATTGGCTTGTCCAGCATATCTGTGCCACCGGTGTATACGGAAGTTTCGAGGTTTTGTATAGCTGCCAGTTCATGTCCCACCGGAACCCCGATCCGAGGCCGTTGACGGCAACCGCCACCTGTGCTCCTCCGGGCGGTGTCTGCTTCTGCTTCGGAAGGGGCCTCCGAGAAAACCATCATTGCTTCACTGACTCACCGTCTCTCTAATTCGATGCATCGACTCCGTTGATTAGGTCGAGAATGCCACCGTTTCGACGAAAATCACGATTGGACAAGGTGCCAAATGCGTATAATCTCAACAATCAACTTCTCCGCGTGGATCATATCTGCTGACTCCCGCTAGCTGCGAAGAATGTAAAAAACGGAAGACCAAATGCTCCGGCCGGTTCCCTTGTCAATCTTGTGTCGCACGTCATGTCGAGTGCACGTTCAAAAGACCCGAGAGAAAGGTTTTAGTGTCAGAAAGGTACCTTACCCACTTTGGCGACTCAGCGACTCATGGAACGACACTCATTGCGCTTTTAGTTATTTGCGTGCGCTCGAGGATAATTGCGCCCTGCGCCGCCCGCAGTCAGCGCCACCGACCAAGGAATTGTCCGAAGAAAGAGTGTCCCGGAGCAGCCCTCCGTTACCTTCTGTTGCAGACGGTAATTATGGGGATGTCATACTTCGCATTATGGCACCACCATTGACGGATCTTTAGATGTGTCCCAAGTTCCTCAAACCAGCACCGCCGAGGCACTCATCACCAACCCTCTTGTTTCTGCCACATCCTTCTACCTGAAGGATACCACCGGACGATATAGTAAGCTCCAGGTCTGAGATGGCTTCCATGGATTTGGCTGAATCTTCAGGATATTGCGGGCCGTCGTCCTCCTGGTCCTTCTCCCAGCGCGTCTTCCTGCTGCTCAAATCGGCGGTTCCCGACTACCCGTGCCCAGATCTTCCTTTTCACATCGATGGCTGTACCTGGGAACTTAGCTGGTCCCGGACTGATTTTGAAGATGCCTCTGTTGTGGAGGGACTGCCGTCGCTAGATGACTTTCTCTATTTGCTCAATACCGTCAAGTTCCATTCCTCTCGGATGCTATATCTTGTCGATGAAGACGAGTTCATACCTCATCTTCACGAGTTTTACGATAGAGGGCTCGAGAAAGCCAAAGCCCAGCCTCTATGGTTCATTCAATACCTCCTGATCATCGCTCTCGCCAAGGCGTTCCTTACTACACCCAGGAATCCCAACTTACCGCCAGGATCAGCTTTCTTCACACGAGCCATGTCGCTGGTACCAGACTTTATAGGCCTGAATCGCCAGCCCAATCGTGGCATGCAGATCCTGTACCTGATCGGCCTATATCTAGTGTCGGTGGACATGAAGGATGCTGCTTATGTTTATGTGGGAGACCTTGCCGAAGGTATTGACCAAGCGCTGACCGCAATCGCAGGTCGGCTAGGCGATTCGGATGTGTATCATGGAAGGGATATATCGGGAGCCGCCCGACGGACTATTTGGGATTGGCATCGCGCATCAGTGCCGTAACATCTGGTGGTCCGCATATATCCTTGACCGGCAGCTATCATCGATGATCGGGGGCCCAGTATCAATCCAGGACGCGGAGATCACCTGTGCGCTCCCCGTCGCTTATGATCAGTCAGAGGATGCCCTGTTCTTCACCATGCATGTCAAGCTTTCCCGGACGATCGGCCGCGTGTTGAATTGTAAGTGTAGGATTCGATGTGTGCGGCCTTTTCTAATATGGTGCTTCTAGCCGTATATACGACCGATTTTCGATTGCGCCAGTCATTCATCTCCACAATTCAGTCCGTGCTGCGAGAGATGGCTGATATTCTGCGGGAGACAGAGGAGATGGCCGCCAAAGTCTCGCATCATTCCCTGCGTACAGTATCGACCATGACGAGCCATCTGACAGTCAAATACCACCAAGTAGGTTTATGTATAATTCACACATCACAGGCCGACTGACGGTTGTCACAGTGCATTATTCTAGCCACGCGCCCGCTGTTCCTTCACTTTCTCATCAATCGGCTCCAACCACAGGATCAGCGCGGCGAGACAGTGATCCCCGTCCAGCTGAGACCGCTTCTCGAAACCTCTCTGCAGTCAGCCAAGATCTCATTGAGGACTCTATCTGTGCTATACGAGCAGTCGCTCCTCGGTATGTCCGCTGATTTTCTCCTCCTCTTCCTCTTCTTGCATGGGACTTACAAAAAGCGTAGAGTCTTTCCTCCCCTTCGACCTGGAAGGAATCTTCTCCTCGGCATTCATCCTCACCATCGCCCACTTCATCGACCCTGCCCTGGTGCCGGACATGGCCAGCTACGTGCTCACCGCCTCACGCATGCTGTCCGACATCGTGGCCAAGGGCAACATGACAGCCGCGCTGCGGCAGAAGGAATTGGATTTGTTGCAGAGGATGACCGGACATGTCGTGCGCGGGGAGAGTAGTGAGGATGATGGTGGAAGGGAGAGTGTCTCCCGCATGGTGAGCCTTCCCCAGCAGACGGATCCCGCGGTGGAGTCTGAATTCATGATGGCGGATGAGGAAATCACGATGAGCCCTACCCAGATCTTGAGTCTGGCCGAGCATCTGGACTTGCTGAATGAGAGTGCGTGGGATATTGGATTCGGACTCGAGGGGCAGGGGTTGATGTGAGGGGTGCCTCATGAGTTCGAGTGAGGATGGTAGACATTCGCCGTATCTGTCTCATTCCTGAGCTCTGGCGGGCTCTTCGCAGCGACTGCTGAGGGCTGGCTTTCTATGACTATCATCATTAGTCACTGCTTCAGCACTAGGGCTCCTAATGACAGGCGTCTAGGCGGCCTGCGAGGCACCCAAGACACTATATTTGAATGTACATCACGAGGAGCGAAGGCCCTGCGGGCCTTCCTCCTTTCTTTTCGCCCCATGAATGGGTTTCTTGGCGGACAAGAAGTAGCTCATGCACTCTTCGTTCCCTCACATCCTGTCCTCTCATGAGCCCTATATTCTGGCGTGTTGCAAGGGACAAGGGAAGCCTCAAAATGCCAAGTCAAGCGGACGCTGCATGCAACCGTGTCAATCAATAGGTTCGACTGCCTCTCCTGATAGGTATGTATAAGTATACACATCATTTCCCCACCTGATGAGGATATAAGACCCCCCCAAAAAATACAAGCCCAGGCGAAACCCCTACAATAGTATTCAGCGCATCCTACCAGGAAAATTTTCAAGGTGCGTGTTTCAGCAGCCAGTTTCCTCATCGCTTGCCTATCATCCAATGCGCAGAGTGATTGTGGTCCAATTAATGTATGTATCATATTCGATTAGAATTATAAACCAAGAGTGTATATATATTATGCCCGGAGAGCAGGCATGTCCACCGATTGCATCCGGTAGTTCAGGAGGAGAGGAAACCAACCCTCCCTCCCCCCCCTCTCTCTAATTAACCGGCCTGGGTGTAGACGGTGGTGTTGGTAACCGCCTCAGCGGGCAGCCACTGGCCGGCGACGGTATGGACGTAAGCGAGCTGGGCGAGGGTGAAGGTGTGGAGCTCGGAGACCAGGACGGTGGTGTCGAGGGGCAGCACGCGGTGGACCATGGCGTTCTGGGTGAGCATGGAGATGTACTCCTCGTCGGCGACGGCGGTGATGTTGGCGTCGAAGGTCACGCGGATCAGCGCGTCCGGTGAGTTGCTGCTCAGCAGGGAGGTGGACAGCAGCCACAGGGCGGGCCCGCCGCCGGCCTCGGTCGACGACGACGACGACGACGACGACGCATCCGCGATGTGCAGCAGGCCCGCGTTGGTGCCGAGCAAGGGGTGCTGCAGCTTGAAGAACGCCATCGCGCCGTCAGCGCCGATATGCCCGAAGGTGCCCGTGCCGCCGGTGGCGTTGCCGGCCAGCGTGAACCACACGCCGCGCAACGGGCCCGTGGCGACGGTGACCATCCCCACGGCGTTGTTGCCGACGGCGGGCGGGATGGCCAGCTGCGCCGTCTCGCCGCTGGTGACGTTGATGCGCATGATGGACGAGTCGGTGTCCTGGGTCACGTAGATCAGGCCGGTGGTGGGCTCCTCCTTGATGAAGACGGGGCTGTTGAGGCAGGGGTACAGCGTCGAATCCCGGACGGTGGCGACGGTCGTGTTGGAGCCAGCCCGGGGGATGGTGGCGTTCAAGTGCGAGACATCGGCCGAGAAGACGTAGTACTGGCCCGTCTGCGGCGAGGCGACCTTCAGACCGGCCCACACGCGGTTCCCGATCTCGAAGACGCAGTGCGGGCCATTGCCGGGGACGGGGATGTTGATGGTGCGCACCACCACCGGCTTGCTCGCCAGCGTGCGGCCGGGGTCCACCAGCAGCAGCTTGTTCTCCGCCTGCAGCGTCAGCCACATCAGCCCCGGGTACAGCGTCGACGGCCACACGCCGTGCAGCTGCGAGCTGCTGTTGCGCCCCATCGGAAACGACTGCCACGCGATCGGCGCCTCCGTGGCTGGGTCGAGCTCGATCTTGATCAGCGCGCTGTCCGACATCTGCGACAGCAGCACGAAGTTCGTGTTCGGCACGCGTGCGAACTCGTGCGTCTCCGTCGCCACCGGCAGCAGGTACTCGGTCAGTCGCCGGCTCACCAGCGTGTTGGCGTTGGCCGATTGCTGCTGCGCCAGCGCCGTGGGGAGGACGGCGCTCAGCCCCAGCGCGGCGACCACGAGCGACTTTTTGAGAGTTTGAACCAGCATGGTTCTGTTCTGTCCGAAGCCAAGGTTTCTGATGTTTCCTGGACTGGGATGAACACTTGAGCTTGGGAGTAGGAGGGGGGAGGGAGGGGGGAAGAGGGGCTGGACCTCCTATTTGAATTTGCCTGGGTTGCCCACTACCAAGGCGATTCGCGGCGATGCGAAAGACACTTCGCCTAGGGCAGTCGGGTTCTTTCTCACGAACCTAACCTAACCATCCGAAGATGTCGATCACTGCCTGTTGGGCACAAGTCCTGAGTAGCTGAACTGCGGAATGAGCGATCGGCTTGATCCCTGAGTCGAAGATCGCTGATCGCTCGCCCGATCTGCGCTAGACCGGGATCCATGGCGCGCGATCAACCACCCGCACTATTGGGGACTTGGGAATTGACCGAGCTGCTAGGGGGATCTGACTGCTGGATCGGGAGAATGCAAAGCACACCTTGGAGGGCCTGGGCGGGTGGGGTTGCACTGCAATGGGAGTGGGGGAATACGGGGCTGGCAGCCACATATATGTCATCAAGAGCCAGGGAGATAAGACCATGACCGTCTGTCATCCTCCGGTGGCTTGAACGCAGCCAGGCGGCGGGTAAGGCCGCTTTACCGGTGTCAACGATTTGAGAGGCTTCAGAGGAGAGGGATCTGGGACGTGTTTGATATGATTCTTGGTGGTTGTGGAACTAGCGACGTTCCCGCATGTAAACAAGATGAAAAGGCCTGTGGATTCACGTGACCGGATGGATTACTTAGCAACGCGGACAATCTACTGCACGTTCGGGGTCAAGGCCAACCCTTCGAGATACCCACTTGCTTACCGACAACGTTACAGCGAATGAAACACGAGCAGATCCTCTTCTCAGATCAGTTGTTGGCTACTTTGACCGGCAATCTACATGCACGAAAGCAGATCCGATTGGTACAGAACGGAACACAAGGAGTAAAGAAAAGAAAGCCGGAACATGAATTCAACGCCTCAGAGGACCGTGTCTATGCGATTGAGAATAGGCAACAGAAATGGAAAGCAAGACCAACCTAACCTGGAACGATCGCTACAAATGGTCCAGGCACTTGATCAGGGGCGGAGCACTGGCCCCGCTGGGCATCCAGCTCTTCAGTGAGCGCTCAAAGATGACGGCGATGGGCTCGCAATGCAGCACCGCGGGGGCGTCCTGCAGCGCGCGGCGGATGTTGTCGCGGCCGTATTCGGCCATCTTCTCGTAGACCTCCCAGCGCGTCTTGTCGCCCAGGACGGTCTCCTTCAACATCGGGGTCAGCGGGTGCAGGGGGTCGTCCAACCGCAGCGAGAGCGAATTGACCCAATCCACGTACGGCACCCCCCGCAGCGGGTGCGGCGAGATCTGCTGGAGGATCTCGAAACTGCGGTCGATGTCGATGGCGTTGACCAAGTCGGGCTGGACCAGGTTGTAGGCGTGGCCGAGGTTGCCCGCGGACCGCGAAACGTGCAGCATGGCTTCGACGACAAAGTCGACGGGGACGAATTCCTTTCGCTGGTCCGGCAGCAGAGGAAACTCACCCATGGACATGCAGCTGTTGAACACGCGCGACACGAAGTCGTCCGGGTTGCATATCCCGGACTGGCTGTGGCCGAGAACGAAGCCCGGGCGATACACGGCCACGGGGAACCCGTTGTCGATGGCGCTCCACACAATCGCCTCCGCCACGTACTGGCTCTGCGCGTACCCGGTGTCGTAGTGCAGCGCGGCCAGGTGCGAGGCCGGCCGCTCGTCCTCGGGCAGGAATTTGGCCCCGGTCACGTAGCCCGTGGGCCCGTAGGCGGCGATAGTCGAGGAGTAGTGCATCGCCTTCAGCCGCCCGTGGTTGGTAAAGTGCAGCATCTCCAACGTCCCGATCACATTCTCGGCGCGGTGCGAGGTATAGGGGGCGACATAGCTGACCTTGGCGCCCAAATGGAAGATGACGCTCGACCAGCGCGCCCAGTGGTCGTACTGCGCCTCAGCCAGCCCCAATCGCGGCAGGGCGAAGTTGCCCGCCAACGCCACCACCTTCTTCTGGCCCTCCAGGTTGAGCCCGTACTTGGCCGCCGTCTTCTGCAGACGCAGCAGCGCCGCTCGGTCGTCGGCGGCCCGCACCAGGCAGACCACCTGCTGCACCTCCTCCCGCTGGATGAGGCTGACCAGCAGGTGGATCCCCACGAAGCCAGTGGCCCCGGTCAGGAAGATCCGCCCCTCCCCAGGGCTCTGCCATTGGGGCACGGGCAACCCGTCCGCGCGAGGTTGCAGGGTCTGGCCCAGCTGTGAGTCCTGCAGCCAGATTTCCTGCTCGGTGCGGGCGGACTGATCCACATCACCCTCCGCCTGCAGTCGCATCAACAGGGGCACCAGCTGCTCGAAAGTGGGGTTCTCGTACAGCATCGCGGCACGGACCGAGACCCCGAGGGCCTTATTGAGACGGGTGATCATGGTGGCGGCCATAAGGGAGGTCCCCCCGAGAGCAACGAAGTCGGCGGTGGGAGCGAGGCGCTCGTCCGGCAGACCGAACACGTCCAGCCAGATCCGCTCCAGTTGAGCAGCGACATCGTCCGCGTCAATCACGACGTTCGCCGCCCGTGCCCGCGATCGCTGCAGCGTGTCGTAGTACTGTTGCTCCAGGGCTTTGCGGTCGGCCTTTCCGGTGGCGCTGAGCGGGAGGGTGGCAATCAGCTGGATTCGTGGGACCATGAGATGGGGGGAGCGATCGATATACGCCCGCAGAATCGCGCCCTCAGGCACGTCGGGACTGGTGGGCACGCAGTAGGCCAGCAGAAACTGGCCCTTGTCGACTTCCTCCGGGGTGATCTTGATGACCACCGCCGCGCTCACCAGCCGCGTCTCCAGAAGATTGGCCTCGAGCGCCTCCAGCTCGACTCGCTGCCCACGGATCTTCACCTGGTTGTCCTTGCGACCCAGATAGAAGTGATCCCCGTTGGGGTCTGCACGCATCAGATCCCCCGTGCGGTACAAATGGCCCGGTCCACGGGTCGAGCGCGCCTTCAGCTGCGGCATTCGCACAAACGCCTGGGCGGTCTTCTCGGGATTGCCGATGTAGCGACGAGCCACTCCGGGTCCGCCGACTAGCAGCTCGCCAACCTCTCCGGGCTGGGCACGGACACCCTCTTCGGTGACCAGGAAGGTCTCGATGTTGTTGAATGCCTTGCCCACGGGGATGGCCCCACGCAGCGCCTCCTCTTCAGCGACGGTGTGCCACAGGGTGTAGATGCTGCATTCAGTTGGGCCATAGCCGTTAATGATTCGACCAGGGGCTCCCGCCTTGAAGATGGAGCGGATGATCTTGCAGTTGATGGCTTCCCCGCCGGTGATGAGGGTGTCGAGGGTCGCAAAGGCGTCGGGGCAGGAGAAAGCCGTCACCGTGAGCAGAGAGGTGGTCAGTTGCATGACATTGAGCTCCGCTGTTCTTATCAGGGCGCGTAGGGCAACCGGGTCGAGCACCGTCTCGGAGGGGATGACGACCATGGTGGCCCCGCGGAGCAGCGTCCCCCAAATTTCGACCAGCGAGGTATCGAAGATCACGCTGGATCCGTGGCCCACCCGCTGCCCGCGGCGGATGAGATCGGCCGGGTCAAGGCACAGGTTGATCAGGCCCTCAGCCATCGCCTCCACGGCTTTCGGTTTCCCCGTGGTGCCGGATGTGTGCAAGACATGAGAGCAGTTGCGACCATCGCGGAAGATCGGCTGGCCGCCGCCCTGGAGAGCTCCGGTGGACAGCGCGGTGTGGTCGACCGAGAGACGACGGAAAGACGGGAGGCGATGCTGGCGAGTGGCATCGGTGAGTACGAGAGTGGAGCTTAGATTCTCCAGCATACTCGCCAGATGGCTGTCGGGCAGCTTGTCGTCGAGAGGCACACAAGCCCGGCCGGAGTATATGACGGCGACCTGGCAAAGAACGTGGTTTAGGGCTCGGGGGATGAGAATGCCAATTGGGGCCGTGTCGCCCTCGGTGATCGCCTCAATCTGCAAGGCCAAGGCGAGGGCCTTCTGGTGTAAATCCGCATAGGACAGCGAGTGTTCACCCTCTTCGATAGCAGTTACCGCACCGGACTCACACACCTGCTGGTGTAGTAGGCGGGCCAGGCCGGCATCTTCGGGGGTTGAGGCGAACGCATTTGCTGAGATAGTCATGGCCGGGTGGATACGATATGTGTTGATTGAGGAAACTGTTCGCGATTTCTCTTGGATTGCCAGGGATTGCGGACTCAAATATCATGCTGGGGGATCCAATGGGTCCTACGCAAATGCTACCGGCGGTGAGCAAGATAGTATAACGATCATCAGGGTACCTTTTTGAAGGGTCAACATACGAGCCGAGCCACAGCCAAGTATGTCAGCATAAGGATGGCCACACATGAAGGGCGGAGGAATGTGCATGACTGGTATCCGACAGTCAGGGTCACCGCTGTTCCGGTTTGAGGGACTCAGATGCTTACTTACATCCTTGCGTGGACCATGCGCGGCCCCTTGTAATTCAGCACCTCTAGTCTCACATTCCCTCATCAAGAGCAGTGTTTTTCCGGACCAGTGACCCGCTCTAGCTTGATTTCTGACAACAAGGAGTGGCCTGCGAGGGGGGCAACCGGCCATTCTATGCTGTGCTGATCCATACCGGAGCACTCGCAATCGCAATTGACCGGAGCATCAAGACGCCTTGCTGACACGATCTTCGTGGGTAGTACCCTGAAAGCTAATCTTAATACCTGCTTTTGCTTTGGCAGCAGTGGGGCCTCGTCTGGTCTGGCAAGACCTGGATCGCAAGTTGATTGAAGCTCCCAAGCCCTGACGTAAGGGAGAGTGAGTGGATAAGGCAGGGCTCGGCGCGGTGTCCGGCGCCAACAGGCCCTAAACGTGCAGCTGCAAGCGCAGCACAGACAACTTACCGCTGAATTAGATTCACCTCCGATCTGACAACAAATGTACATTTGCCTGTTGTGGAAAATGCTTTCTCAGAGCTACGCATCCAAACATCGCCTCCTTGCCGAGTCTGTCGGTGAAGTCGTAAGTTGTGCCCATGAGCCATTCCCGCCAAGCTGCTGAACCTCAAGCCATGCGAGTAGCACTCCCAAAACATCATAAAGTGACTCCATCTATAACAGACGCACCGTCCAATATCGTCTAAGGCTGTTCCTATTGCACCACGGTACCCCTCCAACTCATAACGACTTCCTCCCAAACCAACCAACAGGCTCTTGAATCCGGCTAGTAATCATGGGCGAAAGCGTGTGCCGTGATGAGCCGAAGCACTACACAACGAGCGGCTCATTCACCGAAAGCGTGCTATCCGCCTGTCAGAAAGTGCAAGACTTGGTCAAAACAGCTGCGCCCATCGTACTCGACGGCCGTTCGCTGGATATCAGCTCGGTCATTGCCGTTGCTCGGTAAGTCTGGCGTGTTTCCGTCCCGGGGCTCTCGGTGTTGTTGTCGGGTTGCTGACATTCTCGCAGACACAACCAGCATGCTGTCATCACGGAGAGCAAGCATGTGGTGCAAGCCATGCAAGCCAGTGTCGATATCCTTGCCAAACGCATTCAGGGCGGCGAGGTAGTGTACGGCGTCAACACTGGGTTTGGAGGCAGTGCTGACACGCGCACCCGTGAATATGCTGCCCTTCAAAAGGCTCTCATCCAGATGCAAACCTCGTGCATCCTTCTTCCCCAAGATCGGGTCCTTCAACCCACTCGCATGGATCTCGCTCGCAGCCACAGCATGCCGGTGGCGCTGGTCCGAGCAGCCATGTTGACCCGCTGTAACTCTCTCATCCGCGGCCACTCTGCGGTGCGGCCACGGGTCGTAGAAAATGCCCTGACTTTGCTGCAAAATGGAATGACACCAGTGGTACCCCTGCGTGGTAGTATCTCCGCGTCTGGGGACCTGGCCCCGCTGTCATATATCGCGGGCTTGCTGGAAGGGAACAGTGACATTTCGGTGCATGTTCAGCACGGCGCATCTGAGCGCATCATCCGCGCGGATCAGGCGCTCCAGGAATTGGGACTGGAGCCGCTCGATCTGGGGCCCAAGGAGGGTCTGGGGCTGTTGAACGGCACAGCCTTCAGCTCAGGCGCAGCTAGTCTTGTCCTCTTCGAGGCCAACCAGCTGATCCTTCTGTCACAGCTGCTCACAGCCATGGCCACGGAAGCGATGGCCGGTCGTGCGCACAACTATCATCCTTTTATTGCCGCTGCGCGACCACACCCCGGCCAGCTGGAAACGGCTGTCAATATCTTCACCTTTCTCAGTGACTCCTCGCTGGCGGTTCGGTCCGAAACCGAGGAAACAGGAGGGGATGTCAAACTGGGCGAGCCCGATGAAGCCGGTCACGTCGGCCTGAGCCAAGACCGATACGCTCTGCGCACGGCGACCCAGTGGATGGGCCCTCAGCTCGAAACCATGGCGCTTGCTTCGCAGCAAGTCGGCGTTGAGCTCAACTCCACCACCGACAATCCCTTGGTCAACCCCCTGGACGGGGAGGTCTACCACGGGGGTAATTTCCAGGCCGCCTCTATAACCTCCGCTATGGAAAAGACCGCCAGCGCGCTCCAGATGACGGGGAAGATGGTCTTTGCGCAATGCTCCGAGATCTTGAACCCAGCACTCAGCCATGGGCTGCCGCCGAATCTCAGCATTGGTGACCCAAGTCTGGACTACGCCTTCAAGGGACTAGATATCAACATGGCCGCCTACGTGTCGGAGCTGGGTTACCTCAATCACCCGGTCAGCAACCATGTACAGTCGGCTGAGATGCACAACCAGGGGCTGAACTCGCTTGCCTTGATCGCCGCGCGTTACGCTACCGAGTCCGTCGAGGTGCTCTCCCTGATGATGGCCACCTACTTGTACATCCTTTGCCAGGCAGTCGATCTGCGCGTCCTGCAGGCTGAATTTACCGCGCACGCCCGCGTCGAGGTCAACGCCCTCACCGCGGGTCTCTTCCCCACGGGCTATCCAGCGCTCAAACTCGTGCAGTCTGCCATCTGGGATGACCTCATGTTCCACTGGTCCCACGGCAGCACGATGGACCTCCGCGACCGCGCCGTCTCCGCGGCCAACTCCTCTGTCGGCACTGTGCTCCGCCTCCTCCCGGTCGGCGAGAGTAGCAGTAGCAGCAGTGGACACAGCAAGTCGACCGTCGATGTCCGGCAATGGACCACCAGCGTGGCGGACACTCTCGAGCGTACCTACGACCGCTTGCGCACCCGCCAGGTCTCTCTCTCTCGGTCCGGCGATCCAGCTGCTACGGCAACAACCGCCGGCTATCTTTGCAAAACCTCGCGGAGACTGTATCTCTTTGTCCGCGAGGAGCTGGGTGTGCCGCTACACCGGGGGTACGATGAACACCCAACGGCCAACAGGGACGATGGCAGTGAAGGCAAGTTAACCATTGGATCACAAGTCAGTAAGGTTTATACCGCGCTGCGCGAAGGCCGGTTACGACAGGTCTTGTTGGACTCATGGTAGGATACAGGTGGATGGCGATCCTTTTAGACTTGTTGCTGGCGTTACCCATCAAAGTAGGAGAAGAGTTAAAGGTGTTTTCCAAAGGCAATAGGCTGATGCTCGTGTTTGATTGAATTTCTCTTGTCAAGTTCCTGGTAGACCTTTTTTATTTATATTTTGTCCTTGAATTTCAGCTGCAGCCTAGAATCTAAACCTAGGTCCACTCATTCTGAACTATCTCTTGCAATTACCAGCCCAGTCGTTGGGCCTCTTCACCACTAACATCATCAGGGATGTCCATATGATACTGCAGCACATCAATGTGGGGTGAAAGCCAGTCCGGGCGACGCTTCGTCCACACTTCAGCCACCGGCTTGGGGATCTCCGGGAATATTCCTAGCATCAGCACTAAATCCAGGTCAATGAGGTGTAGACAACGGCCATAAGGAGCGGAGGAGAACTTACGCGACTTGCCTGGGAGCACTGATTCACTCCGATACATAATGGGACTGGACTCCGGTCAGGGTTCGCGGAACGATGCACGCACCTCCGAAGAACATTCGACACTTACCAGCCACAAGTATCGCAGAAATAGCGATCCAGGGACCGACCGCAGTTGGTGTTGGTGTCAACATATTTCTTGGGGCTCCCCTTGACGACCTGGTCCTTGTCCTCAATCACAACCACATAGGTACCAGCTGCGAGAGTTTCCTGTCAGTCATCAAGGAGGGTAAATAAAGCTCAGGGCAAGCCAGGGGGCATCCCTACCAGCACCACTCTGCTTCCGACAATTGACGCAGTAGCAGACCATGACCCCCTGATTCAATCGAGTGGGGTTTGTGACAATGATGGTGACCGCCCCGCAATTGCAGCTTCCTTCCACGCTCTGGCTTCCCGTCATGATTGTGGTGAGGGTAATGTTGCCGCGGGTCACTTTAGAGGAAGGAAGAAGTCATCCCCATTGACGCGTTTCCCAGCTGGGTTTATATGGACCTCACGAGGAGGGGATTTGGAGGTGCCACTGCATCAGTGAACCTTGCTCTTTAGATGAGGGAGAGAAGCACGGAGTCAGGCGCCAAAAGGTCGGTGAGGGTCCAAGCAAGGGGGTATCCCGTACGTGGCTTCAAGCATTCCACAGCCCTTGGTTGTTCTGAGCCCCTAAATGCAGCTCGGCATGGCGCCTCCCTTGGTAGTTAGTTAGTATATTATCTATCATTTGAGCAAATCCCTCCAAGCGAGTCCTGTTCCTCGAATCTTGCATTACATGGATCGAGATCTATCATGGGAGATAATTGTACCACGACAGGATCCTACCCGTATCGCCGCGGCTGGGATTATTTGGCAGAGGCGATCGAGAGATTTCCCGACCATCTGGCCGTCGAATGTGTGCACCAACCGGCGAGACTCTACGGACTGGGACGGGAGGAGGGAAAACATGGCCGGTGGAGCTATCGCGACCTGGACAATGGCATCAGCCGTCTGGCTGGCGCCTTCGAGCGGCTCGATCTGTTGACGAATTCGCTGATCTTCGTCCTCCTGGGCAACAGTCTGGAGCATGTTCTCACCACCTGGACAAGCTATCGACTGGGATGCGTCCACGTCTCCATTCATCCCAACAGCCTATCCAACGCAGCGGAGGCGCGCCATCTTCTAGACACTGTGCGCACACACCGGCCCAGCTGCCGGGCTGCGGTGATAGTGCAGAACGCAGAGGCTGCACGCCGCGTCGATGAGATATTCCCCGCGCTGGAATGCGTGAAGATTGTGGTGGACGATGAGCCAACTTGTGCCCAACCGCCTGCTTGGGCCTCGTTCAGCACGCTCATGCAGGAGGATCTGGCCAATGTGCAGCCTGCCCGCATCTTTCCCGTGACGCCAGAGATCAGTATCTTCTTCTCCAGTGGCACCACCTCGCTGCCCAAACCCTGCGAATTTGAGGTGCCCGTCTGGCTCAGTTCCCTGGCCAGCGGATCGACATTCGGAGACTTTGCGCCAGGGGACCGGGTGATGTCCTTGGTGCCATGCAGCCACTCGTTCGGCTACATGGCCCAGATGTTTGCCCTAACCCGGGGCTCGACGCTGGTCTATCCCTCGTATCTTACCTTCGACCCGCGCACCACTATGGATATCCTGGGGAGCGAGACGCATCAATACCTGATTATTGTCTCCGCTCTGATACATGCCTTTGTGACGGCCGATCTGCATTCGCAGAAGTTGCGTCCGATCGACACGGTCATTTTCTCCGGGATGGCCCTGACAAGTGCGGCAGCTATAGAGTTCCACGCCAGCGTACGACCCAGCGCCATTGAGAACGTGTTTGGAATGACTGAAGGGGGGTTTGTGTCAACGGGTCGGGTAGAAGGCACTCGGATCCAAGAAATATCGCACGAGAGCTTCGTGGCGGCGGGACAGCCGATGAAAGACACGCAAGTGAAGCTCTGTGCCCCCGGAAGCAATGAGGAGATAGGCCCCGGAGTGGCAGGGGAGGTGCACGTCAGTAGTCCTGCGACTGTGCGAGGTTACCTCGGCGTCTCTAGCGATGCCTTCTATGTAGACTCGGATGGATGCGCCTGGTACCGAACCGGCGACCAGGCCATACTCAATCCCAAGGATGGACTCCTCTACCCCGTGGGCCGCTACAAGGACCTCATCATTCGTGGGGGCAAGAATATCTCCCCAACGGCGATCGAGGCGGTGCTGAACCAAGATGAGGCGTTTCATCAGCTCACTCCACAGGCCGTGGCTTTGCCCGACCTAGTGGTTGGTGAAGTGCCCGCCATTGTCCTCAACGCTGACATCCCACCGAGTGAGGCTCAACGCATCAGGCAGCGAATTCTATCGGAAATGGGTTCGATCTATCTGCCTGATCTGGTGGTCTCAATCCAAGCCTTGGGGCTCGAGCAGTATCCCCGCACAAGCTCGGGAAAGATCCAGAAGGTAAAGCTGGCCCAGTTGGTGCGCAAGTACCACGAGGAGGAGTTGACCAAGGCCGACGGACTCCTCAGCACCACCATCGCGACCCCTAGCACCCTTGTGCCGGGAGATGTCCGGTCGACGATGCTGCATCTGTGGGCAGCGGTTCTAGGCATCACTCAGGATCAGCTCGATCTCACGGCCAAGCTGTCGGAACGAGTAGACAGCATCACGTTGATGCGGGCGCATTCGAGGGCAACTAAGCGGACAGGGAAGACGGTTCCTTTCGCCGTCTGGCTCGCTGCTAACAGTATAGAAGATCAGATCGCGGTTCTCGAGGCAGCCGATTCTAGTCCTGGGAGCAATTCTACACCATCATCTGTGAATACCTCGACGGTTCGCAGCGGGCCTCCCGAGTTGGAGGACATGGTGCATCTCCTTGGCGACGCCAGCCGACTCCCAGCTACTAAGGCTCTCGTTGAACAAAACCTCACTGGCTGTGGATTGACATGGCAGGACGTGGAGGACGTCTTCCCGGCCACTGACTTCCAGCACATCATGCGCCAGGCGCATCTGATCGAAAATTGGGAGTTTTGGGTTTGTGTCCATACCGAGGGGTATACCTCGGCCCAGTTACGCCACGCACTGGAGACCACACTGACTGTGCACCCCATGCTGCGGTCATTTGCTGTGCTCGACCCCACCCCGGAGGCCCCAGAGACGCTTTTAGTGACGGTTCGTCACTCGCCCGCAATCCTGGACCAATGTATAGTCGATTACGGCGAGGTCGATACAGTAGCGGACGTAGAGCGACTCACCATCAACTTTCCTGCGGAGCATCGAGTCGGTACCCCAGGGCCACTGTTTCGTGGGCTGATTGTGTTTGTCAAGCAGATTTCGAGCGCCGTTCTCGTGGCTGATTGTAGGTCATCTTCCTGCCAGAGTTTACGCACTCTTTTGCTAACCTTCGAGGCCAGTCTGCCACTCGATCATGGACGCAACTTATTACGAGCTTTTCGAGGACGATCTCGATCTGGCTCTGGGTGGTCTTCCCCTGAATCAACCCGTACCGTATAAAGCGTGGACGGAAAGCTACTACCTCCTGCAGGACTCCAAGGCCGGCCAGCCTGCCCTGGAATACCACCGCTCTCAGGTGAAGTCCCTAGTAGAAGAACCTGTAGCCCTCTGGCCTACGCCAACCGCCTCCCTGTTGTTGGCCTCGGATCAAAGGGAGCAAGGCCAATACCAGCTCGAATTCTCTCTCCCAACGCTCATCGCGCTGCGGGACCATCACCCCACGGTGACGACCGCGGTGACTCTCAAAGCCGCCCTAGCCCTCCTGACCACGTTTCACACCAAACACCCACAAGCCCTGGTGTGCAACATCGAGGCCGCTCGCGGGGGATTTCCCTTTCTGCCCTCATCACTTCCGCGCGGAGGACAACTCGATGGCGCACGCGTGGCTGGCCCTACGCTGACGGGGGTCATCGAGAAGCTCCGCTTCAACCCCGAAGAGACAGTCCTGCAGCTCCTTTATCGCTTGCAGGCTCAGCAGCTCCTCATCACACAGCATGCCAATGCTCCGTGGCGGGCCCTGCTCTCCGAGATGCCCCGTCTGCGCCAATTGTATCCCGAGGTGGCCAACCACTTGGTCTTCAACTGGACCGGGACGACAACCTTCAAGGCGGATGAGAAGAAACGGATGCACGAGCGTCTCTCCCGGCAAAGGCTCTTCTTCCTGTCCACGACTGGTCTGATGATTGACGCGGGTGCCTCGGGCAAGGATGGGATCGATTTCTGCGTTTGGCTTACGGGGGCCGTCGCCAATGGTTCCTCGCCGTGGGTTCGCGAGATCGCGCGGGGCTTGCAGACCATCACAACGTGGCTGGTCGAGCCTGAGAATTGGGAGCGGCCGGTGGGGTCTTTTGTGGAGTGTTTGCGCCTCACACAGTAATCTAGACGCACTGTAGACATCATATCGCAGACACTTTTCTCTCTTTCGCCAGACATGACAAAATTATGAGTAGCCTCTTCCCAGAGGTTGATATCACTTCCATCATGCTCGAAACTGGTCATCGCACCGGCAATCCGAGTTGGTTAATCTTTTCCGATATGCAAATATTCCGCATAGTCTGCACAAAGTATGTATGCCCAAGAATTCGCAGCCCAACCTGGCAGATGATCGCCAATGCCCCCCAATCCCCTGCCCGGCCCCCTTCATACCAGCCGACAAGCAACCATGTCTCACACCCCGCCAGTTAATAAAAAGGAAGAGTTACGTCTGGTCCCCTTTGAGCCCTCTATATTCTTCCACTGTCAGTTCGGTCCTCACCATCTTCCTATCAAAGACCAAGAGACCAAAAGACCAAAAGACCATGACTATCAGTCTTTCCCCCGATGAGCCCAAGCTGCAACCCCAGGGAAGCACCTGCTATAGCAGCAAGTATCTGGCAGACTACTACGATCTCCACATTGAGGACTGGAACGACGCTGGGCTCTATGGCGACAAGCTCGACACCATGATCTCCCAGGTCTCCCCGCCGGTGACGGTGTTCGACATAGGCACAGGCAGCGGGCGTGTCATCCACAGCCTGCTCGCGGCTAAGCCACGCGCCAACGTCCGGTTTCTGGGGCTGGACATCGAGCCTCATATGCTGGAGCGGGCGCGGCAGCTCACCGATCCGTCCGTGGCAGACCAGATTGACTGGCTGCTCGGCTCTGCCGACAATCTTGAGTCCTTGCCCGTCTTCCAGAACGGCCCTCCTTTCGTCGATATGATCACGTTTGCCTGCGGGAGCATCTGTCATCTCCACCAGCCGGGCCAAGGCGAGCGATTCTTTCAACAGATTGCTAAAGTCCTCAAGCCCGGGACCGGGCGGGCCTATGTTTCCGTGCTGAATATGCTGACCGACGGCGGAGAGGCTCAAGCCCAGGCCTTGCGACCCCCGTTCGGAAATGATCCCGTCGCGAGCAAGGTTCTCCCGGGGATTCTGTATCGCGAGACCTGGCCGCGGCATGAGTTGATCGACAAGGTCTGGCACACCGCGCGGCATATCGTCGCTTTTCGGCTCCTCCCAGGTGGAGAGGAGCAAGTAGTAGAGTACAACGTGAGTGAGCGCGAGGCTCGTGTGTGGACCGAGGCCGACCTACGCGCGGCAGCAAAGATTGCAGGCCTCCAGCTGGTGGAAAAGATCGTGCAGGAGAATGAGACGGGGCTGCCGGAGACCATTTTTGTTTGGGGCGTGGATGTCTAGACAGAAGTCTTTTCATTCCAATGCGGTTGGATTCAAGATGTAAATCTTACGAGACTAGGCTGGCATGACTGCGAATGTGCTTGGGGAGTCTTCGGAAGCATTTGCGGATACAATAAACTCTTAGGATAGATTTGACCCCCTCCCCCCTCGCCTTTCATTCTCTGTCCTAGTTCGATCTACTCTTCCTCTATAGTAGCCGGTGCTACAATCCCTTCCCACGGCCACCACGGAATTCCCGCGCGATGAACTCCCGCGCTGTCATCAGAGTCTCTCGGCCTTGATTTCCCTTGGCTATGTAGGCAGCCTTCTTCAGCGCCGCAGCGGTTTCGATCTCTGTAGGCCCATTGCAAAAGTACTCTCCGTCCCGATGCTGAGCGAAGATAAAGACATCTCGCTCTTGCTCCCGCCAATATTCCCCCTTAGTGTTCATCTCGAAGGGATCCGTGAGGAGGACATATCGTGCCCGGCGACCCGTGACTATTCCTCACTTAACGTTCAAAGCGCCGACATTGCAAGATAGCAGCATGGTGGGTGTATGGATCGGAAACTTACCGGAGACAAAGGTATTCACCAGTTCCGCCGAGGAGACAATATCGCTCGTCCCCTGTATTAAGCGCCGATTCCATCGGTCTGGCCGCAGCAGGATTCCGTGGACCAGGTCCCCAAAGTCATCCGTCATACTGATCCAGGGGAAGTTCTCACGACCGCCCCAGAAGGGGGTCTTGTAGGTGAGATAGCCCTCACTGTCTGGGAAGTGTGGAAAGCCCCCGAAAAGATCTGCGTAGCCGGGCTCCAGCCAATTTTCCATGAACCAAGCCGCCACGATGGGCGTCACCGTGCGGAAGCCGGTCAGCGAGTAGGCCTTGCGCTCCACCTGGACTTTCAGGTCCAGTCCCGGGCAGGCGACGGCGCCGTGGGTGAGTTCTGCTACCGGGAGGCCAGAGCTGTACACGAGGTGCTTAACTCCAGCTTGAGCGGCGCTTTCAATGACTGCGCCGCCCAAGTCCTCATCCGTCAAACCCTGCGCAGCGAGTTCCTGGATGGCGTTCCCTCGCGAGGTGAGTTCTTGTGTGGGTGGCTGGGCAAGCTATGGGAGCAAAGGGTGGATATACACACCGGATCTTCCGAGTTGGTGTTCACGAAGGCGCCCCAACTGCCTGCGAAGGCTACCGCGAGTTGCTCGCGGTTGAACCCATCGGCTTGCACGACCTCGGCGCCCAGAGCGACGAGCTCTTTAGCCTTTGTGCTGGCGGGGTTTCGAGTGATCGCTCGAACCTGAAACTGTGGATTCTGCACCAGAGAGCGAACGACGGAGCTGCCCTGCCGGCCTAGATGTGAATCGGTTTAGAAGCGAAGTCGGTCATCCCATCCGGGCAAAAGCGGCCAGCAGGCTGGGCGACATACCAGTGGCCCCGAAAACGGTGATTATCTTAGTATCTTTGAAGGTCATTGCGCCTGAAACTTGATTTTCCTGTATTGCCTTAGGTGCGAGAAGGGTTTGGGATGCAGATAGTCATACTCGGGTGGTGTGAGGGCAACTCAACCCTAGATCTCTCATATACTTTCTTTCCTCCCCCCCTCCCCCCCCCGATCCTATCCCCCGCGGCGTGCGTTAGTGTGTGTGTGTGTGTGTGTGTGTGCCCCGTGCGTCAGTATGCTCTTGATATGGTGCAGCTACATGCATGTCTCTCAGGTCTCCTCTACGCGAGGAGACTTTGGGCAGTCACGCTTGCATTTACATCCTGTATGACTACTATGGGCTACAGGAGGTAAAAGTTCATGCGAGGAGAGAATTGCATGGTCATGCGGAGGTTTCTTTGACTTGGCTAATGCTCTACATGAATCTTGCTCTGTCCAAAATCACTCACTGCCTCTGGTTTCCGTAGTGCTTGACGAAGTATTCGCGCAATTTGATGACCGGCTGAGGGCCCAAGCCCTTGTCCCGCCGGGCCTCATCCTTCAAGAACTGGCACGTCTTGAAGTCATCCGAGCGACCGAAGAAGAGGCCCCCGCTCCACTGCGTCCACCGATACACATCCTGCAGCTCCTGCAGGACAGTACTGCCGTGGGTTTGGAAGTCCTTGTACGAGGCCATGGGCACGTACCGCGCCGGTTTGCCCGTCACTAGCCATTGACATTGAACGGTTAGCCAGGTCATTTCCCCTCCAGCCGCAGGATATCACAGACCGCCACTCACCGTCTGTAAAGACCTTGACCATATCTTCATAGGAAAAGCTGTCACTGAGCAACTGGATGGTCTGATTCTTCCATCGCAAGGGATCTAGGAACATCCCATGCACCATCTCCCCGAAATCGTCGGCGACTGAGACTGTCTGCACGGTGTTCTCGCCCCCCAAGACGGGACTGGTGAAGGTGTAGATCCCGTCCGCGTCCGGAGTGATGGGGAATCCACCAAACGCTGCGGCGTACTCCGGTGTGATGTAATTCTCAAAGTACCAGCCGGGGAAGGCTCCGATCACCGAATCAAACTCGTTGAATTGCCGGGCGTATAATTCAACGCGGTGCTTGGCTAACGAGACAGGGGGCATTAACACCCATCGGGCGTGCAAAAAGGGCAAGGGGCCAAGAACGGGGTCCAAACTCACCGTCCATGCCGTGAACCGGCACTTTGCCATTGGAGAACTCTGCAGGCGATTCGCATGTGCTGTAGATGAAGACCTTAACGCCCGCCTTGGCTGCGATCTCGACCAAGCGACGGCCGAGATCTTCATCCGTAGGACCTCCGGGACTGATCACAGCCTGCCAACGGGGTTGGTTAGTGAGCCCATTGCTCGGCTTTGCGGAAGACAGCTGAAACATACCGGGTCATGGTGATGGGTGTTGAGCCAGAATCCCCATGCGCCAGTCAAGGCGGCGGTCATATCCTCATCCTTCCATCCGTCGGCCTTCACCACTTGAGCGCCCAGCTGGGCCAGCTCTTTGGCACTCTTTGACTCGGGATCGCGAGTGAGAGCGCGGACGATGAATTTCTGCTGGCTCTTGAGGAGCGAGTCGGCGACCGCGCGGCCTTGCTTGCCTGGAAGTAAACAGTCCCTGTCAGTGTCTCCTAGGCAAGGAGCATTTTTGCCTTGTGGAGTTTCTGTAATGCGACTCACCGGTCGCCCCGTAGACCACGATCACTTTGGGCGAGATAGTCATTTTGCTGTGGAAATAGGTCGGGATGAATCGCGGGTGCTATGAAACGACCAGACACCACTGCGGTCTCGATTGTGAAGTTCTTATATGCTCGTTGTATCAGCCCACCATGATTATCCACGAACTGACGCAACAAGAGGGGGAGGGAGGCCTCTCATTTCATTCTTTGTTCTCTCTTTCCTTCCTGGTCTCTGCGTGCAGGAGGATCAGCAGTTGGGTAGCAATGCAGTTTTTCGTTTCTTCGTGGTTTGTTTCGACGTGGCCGTGCAGGAGCATTTTGGACGCTGCATGTGGTCTGGGCGCGCATGCCTTGGTTCATGCCAAGCCAGTTTCGACCAAAATATACTGGAAAGTCTCAGGCCTGAACTTGCAGCAAGACTTACGACGACTTGGGGATGAGAGAAGGCAAGCCACACCGGGCCAGGGTACCGCGCCACACCCAGCAGTCAAGCCACATCATCTGCCCTCTCCAGGGGACTATCGTTTTACGACTCAGCGACATCTTACGGGAAGACCGGGCCAGTTGTTGTGGGGACAGAGAGACAAGAGAGAGAAGGAGAGAAAAAGCGAAAGAAATTATGGCATTTACTGCAATCTTTTCTAAGCCAGCTAGGCCTAGGAATGGTCCGGTCCCAGTCCTAAAATTTGGGACTGAACTGGAGTATGCAGTCTTTAGTCTTTGCTTAGATTATCCAGAACTGTACTGTAGTCCTCTATAGTTTTAAATTGACTCAGATGAGGAGGTTGTAAATGGTATTTATGAAGATCCTGAATCGAGCACACCCAGTGAGTCCGAGGTTGACGCTGATTTCGGTGATTGTGACGAGAGCGCTCGTACGCCGAGATCCCCACGGGCCGACGAGAAGCTGCTGCAAGATGTGGGGTCCCTCCTGGATGGCAATGACATTGACAATGCCCTCTTTGGAGAGACTGCCCTCTCGATCATGGGGGTGCCCATCACTCCTCACTGTGTCGCGTTCATGATTCAAGATCAGCAAATCGACCAGGCGGCCCAGGTGCTACGTGAAGCCCAGTACCCCGACTGCAAGGATCTGGACCAGTTCGCAGCCGACCCTGGCAATTTCCAATCTCAAATCCGCTGTCATGCATTGACGGGGGGCGACCCGGACGCCCGTTACAAGCGTCCCATCCCGGCCCATCCTTATTACATGGTCACTTCCGATGCGCGGCTCTACAGGCCATCGTTCGGTGGCGGGGACGGTTTAATGCTGAACTGCCTGGGCCGGCAGAGTCGGAAGTCCTACCCGGTCAAGATGCTCCACCCGGAGCGATATGTGGAGAATCTGGTCTACCTGATGATTCGCGACATTGGGTACAACGTCCACCACGGGTGGGAAATTGAGTTCAAGTGTATGGTGAGTTGCAGTCAGCTCTTGTCGCCTCCGGACGAAGCGCTGGCCACGATCGATGTCAGCCTCGGCGACTTACAGGAAGGGCCGATCAGTGAATGGATTGGGCTGCACCGTGAATGGGACAGGAATTATGCGGCCGTCTGTGTTCGGTTCGCAGCTCTGCACCGACAAATCAAGAAGTCAGGCCAACTGGGTGAGCCCCTGATGACCCCCGGAGAAGCGATGAGTGTCAAGCCGGAACACATTGAGAACTGCCTCAAGAACATGGAAGATGGTCTACCCCCATTCCCGAATCGACTTGATATGTCCGGCTGGACTTGTCAGTTGATGTAGGTTAGGTTACCTATATATATATCCAAAAGGTCATCTATCATATATCATGAATCTATACAAAAGTACAAAGTAGTTACATATAACTCAAAGGACTGCTTCTATGAGTTGTGTCGGGTTTCCTACGGCAAGCCAAGATACCTTGGGGTTATTGCAGATTGGCACGAGTAGCCCAAGCCCACTGTAGAGTCTGAGTAATTAAACCACATGATCCAAAGGCGGTTGGTTACCAGGCTGCCGCCGTCAGATTGATATCTGACGGAGTCCCCTGCCTCCTCTGAGTGGTTGGTGGCACCTCATTGCTTCAGCCGCGTGTAGATACTACTGTGACCTCCCGACATAACGAAATAATAGAGGCGCATATCCAAATTTATTATATAAGGGTGTTTATAATATTTATTAGGTGCAAGCAAGAAATACGTTTAGACTGCTATGTTACTAAACACTAAGCAGTTCCTCTTTTTTAACCTATTTATTTTCATTCAGGCAATTTTTAGGCCTTTCATATAGCAAATTTCAAGAATCTTATATAAGGGAGAAAAGGTATTGGACGGAAATCTGTAATAAAGCAATAGACTAGAATACAAATAGTAAAACTAATCAGAGCTCTGTAGAAATTTGTTGTATACTAAGATTACACTTTAATGCGACTTGTTATATCGGGAGGTCACAGTAGTTCCTTTCAGAGAGTCTGAGTTCCTCGTTCTTCACGCTCTCCTCAATATCTCTTCTTGCTCCCCTTGTACGAGAGAGCTGCCAACTCACGAGACATAGTGCAAACAGGGCATATGTTCGTTCGTATTCCCCGTCACCGAATATCATAACCCCCCTTCCTTCCAGAGACTTTTCTTTCTCTTTCTCTTTCCCCTCCCCGTCGCGGATTGGACTTGACTCTCCGTGTATGAAAACGATCGTCCACCACAATGCTCGACCGATTCAAAGCGCCCTTTCGCAGATATCCCGACAATGAGGCGGGGGCGACGATGGCGGTGCTTGAGTTCCTGGCAGCTCAAGGGGTGAGTTTGGACCCGATCACGTTGGACACTCAGTCCGAGGATTACTTCACTAAGGGCAGCCGTAGGGCTCGTGAGGTCTACCCCACCAACCTGGTATCAGCACGACAGCGAGGTTGACGGGTGCCGAAGGTTAGGACAATGTATCTCGTGTCCAGAAAGCTAATCCGCCATATCAAGCGTCTGCTTAAGAACGGCAAAAAGCCGCCTCTGAGGACCACGAGTGGGGGGCGAATTGGTCTGGAAACGCTGGCTCGTGTTCAAGTTTCAAAGAGCCGGAAAAGGTAAGCGGGGTAGGCGAGTAAGTTGAAGTCCCCACGCATGCCTTTCACCCTTGGCCCTGAGATTGAAATCTCCCTTCAAATTAGAATAGTGCCGTCGTGGAGTATAAATTAGAGATTGCCTGCAAGCCTCAACAGCCGGCTACCGTGACCTTCGGCATCTGGGGCAAGGTCACCGGCATACATCAAACTTACCGTGACGGAATGCGCGCCGTCATTCTAAGTGTGGCTTGCAGCCTCTTGTACTATCTGGCCCAGCTTGTACTTGCTTATTCGCCTCCCAAATCCGACTGGCAAAACTTTCTAGACGGGTGCAAGGCCTTATTCGGCTATTGATTTGGTCGGGCTTTGGCAGTTGGCCAAGAATTGAATGCCGAACCCGGGTTTGAATTGGGTCACTACCGTCGATGCCCTTGGCTGAATTACCGGGCACATTGTACAGTACTTCGTTGTGCCATAGAATATCACGTATCAAGCTGCCGTCTTGGTTTATCGCTATCTAGTAGGAGCACCAACCCTCCTGCTCCTCCCAAGATTGCCAGCTGGGGGCGCATCCCTGCTCCCCGCCGCCACTTGGCCAGGCGTTGGTGGCGGTGGTCGGAGACGGAACCTGAGAGGGTTATAGCGATGTGAGGGACAAGGAATGCATCTACTTCAAACAAGATCATATCAGGAAGAAGAAATAAGACACTTATCTAGCTAGAGTAATTTGCCGATATCATCGAGCTTGGAGAGCCATCTATCACGGCGCCTAACTCTAGGAACCTTTCTGTCCTGCGTGTCAGTTTTGCTTTTGTCCGATGTTTGTGACTGTGCACTATTATCTATTTGTAACAGACCTAGTGACTATCCCATCCCAGTAGTATCGATGTCTTTGTGCTGTGCTGCTTATTCTGCTACATGCGCGTACAATTCTTAGTTGCTCCAGTTTGCATCTAGCAAGTGAACAACCCTACCAACTGACATGTGCACAGCCCACTAGCAGCCAACTTATGAGTCAATAAAATCAGCGGGGCTCTGAGGAGTGCCTCGGCGGCGAGAGGTCCTGACATGGAAGAAATATTCGATGTTGGGGTATGGTATCTAGCAAGAGCTGCCATCGCTCTCTGTAACAGATACGATTCAGTGTTGGATCCAGTTGAGATAATCTAGAGTACTGAGCAAATTCTAGTTTATTAGGCGTTCGACTTTTCCTTGACTCCTCGTTCCCACCTGCCACCATATCTTAAGGGGGGCAAGTTCGGCTATACAATAGCACACCCATGAGATACCGCTTTTCCCTTCGGGTTGGGGGAATGACAACTTGAAAAATCATATGTAGATCAGAAGCTCGAAGTCCCGAGCTCGGGGCTCGGGGCTACCGGCGGGAATCTAAATCCGATATAGACCGAGCACTGACTCCCCGGCCGCCCACATAATGCAACTGCCCAAGAAGACAGCACCAAAAAGCACCGACTCTACAACTCTACGACCGTCAAATAGCCCGTAAGCGGGATCCGTAGACCCACAGTATCACAGGAACAGGCCAGCCGACAGCAACAAAGATAAATCCCAGCAGGCTGTTTCCCCACCCGTACCCGAGGGCGGCATACAGATCTGGGGCGAAGATTGGGAAGGCGAAGCCGAGGATGTTAGAAAGCATGCGCGCGGCGGCGTTGGCCGAGGCGGCGTGCGTGGTGAACTCGTCCAGCAGGTAGGCCAGCATGCCCTGGGACACGATGAAGCTGCCCGTGACGAAGATGGAAGTGCCCACATCGACGACGACCCAAGGCAGCCGCTTCTCCGCGGACCAGCCATACAGAAAAATGCCTACCGGGATGAGGAAAACGCCGGGGGTTAGGAAAGGGACCCTGAACTCGGGGCTGGGTGTGGCGTCGTGGTGGCGGCGCGCCTTTAGGGCTTGGTAGATCCGGTCCATCAAGTGGCCGCCCAACTGTGAGGCGGTAATGGTGCCGACCGCGATGGCGATGTAGTTCAGACTGCTGACGGTCGCGGACTCGCCATACCGCTCGATCCAGAGGGTCGCGTAGGTGGACAGCAGCAGGCAGTAGATGGCGAAGTTCAGCGCCATGATCAGCGCGATGACTTGGATCGCGGGGCGGGAGACGAGGAGCTTCAGCGGGCGGATGAGGTGGGCCCCTAGCCTGGTGCTGAGGTTCTGATAGAACGCTTTGTCGAGCAGGGGCGTGAGCGGGCGTTTGCTGAAGGACGAGAGGGGAGCATTGACGGCATCCTGGAGGTGGCGGTGGAGGGCGGCCTTCTTCCGGAGTAGACTTGGGGTGTAGCATTCAGGCAGGAAGCAAATGCCGATCAGCACAATGGCGGCGTCGAACATGGAGAGGACCCAGAATAGCCAGCCCCACGGCAGATGCTGCGAGATCACTCCGCCTATGATGGGGCCCAGGGCCGGGCCCAGGTAGGGGATAAAGGTGGCCAGCGCCAGGGAGCGTCCTCGATATTCCGGCTGATACATGTCGGCAAGTATAGGCCCTGTGAGCTATACAAGATGATGGGTCGCGTCAGTGCGCTGTGCATCGAACCTAAATTTGGATTGAAGCACTAAAGTGTACCACTGACCGTGATACCTGCACTCGCGCCTGATCCGGCAAGGAATCGCCCGACCGTCATGAGCCCGACGGAGGAACTCACGGGACACAGCGCATTCCACAAGATATAGAACAGGTTACTGGCAATCCAGATCGGTTGTCGCCCATACATCTCGGAGAGAGCCGCGATCAAGAAAGGAGCAAACGCGAGACCTAAGATGAAGACTGAAAAGGTGATCTGAGTAGCTGTGCTACCTAAATGGAGGTCGGCACCGATCTGGGTCAAGGCGGCGGCCATCATACTAGTCGACATGAGGGTGACGAGTTGCCCCAGCGAAACGATCAGCGTGACTGAAATTTTGCGCATGGAAGGCCAGTTGTAGGGGTCGTGGGGGTCGTTGGGCGAGTCCCAGGTCGCCTAGAGATGTTCCAGAGATTTGATCAAAATCAGTTGAAGAAGATATGATAATCATATATCAAAGGTCTCAACTTACGCCATGTTCGTCGAGTAAGGCGTTCAATCGCTCTTGCTCCTGGTCGGTGATGGTCAACACAGGCGGTGACGAAGTCGCTTCAACCGAAATGTCCTTTTCCTCAGAAGACATGATAAACTCGCTTGGATTCGTATTTTGATTCGAGTATCAAATAGACTCAAGAGATCTGTTGACGGTGTTGAAATGTTATACTGTATGGAGAGGGGGTCTCGGAGAAAAGTAGAAAGGGTCGGGAAAGGGTCGGAGACTGAAAACCTTAACACCGAGGCAGGTATAATCTTAGAGAAATGGAAGAGAAAAGTACAACATATACTGCGACCTTACAGCGAATGTAAATGTAGAACCACGGCATGTCGTCAATCAGTACAGAACTTCGGTTATCATATTGATTACTGGCTCAGGTGGCTCAGGTAGGGCTGAGCGGGCGGGAAGCCCCATCTTTCACACCGAGTGGTCGTACGTAGTGACCATTTCTGTAATTTAGTCATATGAATGTAGTTTAACAATCCAGAGTAAGATTCGCGACAGTGGTACGAAATTGAGGCTAGAGAGATCGGTACTTCATCGAGGGCCCTTGTCGACCAAGAGATTATCCTGCGTTCGATCTACAGACACGGTCTTGAGCAAATAGCCCGGACAGCCTCTAAATCAAAGACGGTCCATCCTTAGATATAGGTTGCGACTAGGTAAGTGCAGGCCTTGAGCTGGTGGTAAATGAAAGGCTAGCATGGCGTCTTCTTGCACCACCTCGCCGTACATATATAACTCGTACACCCTCTAACACCGCACTATGGTAGCAGGATGAGGGCCGTCGTCTCAAGTCCGATGGGAATAGTCACCGATTATCTATGCCCTCCGTTACTTGCATACCCATCCTCTAATCTCCGAGCAATGGGAGACGCCTATGACCCCGAGGCGTGATTTTTTGAGCCAGAGGTTTCAGCACCTCGAAATTGCAAAGTAATTCATCCGATATGCTCATGACCCCACCCCAATTGTCGAACTCTCCACAGTACTATGAAATAGTGAGCCCGCAGTCCTGCACAATACAGATTCATTTGACCTGAATAGCACAATAGTGTAGTCATCATCCAATGAAGCGGATAGGTACTTACGTTTGGGGCAGAGAAAACGGTCACTAGGAGACGGTCCTGGTAGAACTCGTACCCGTCTTCCACGACCATATGGGCCCGGCAAATCAGGTCAAAGTCATGGCGCTGCAAGAAATCCACAATGACTCGCCGGCCGAAACAATAGCTCACACCCCGTTCATTGGGTTCCCAATCCTCCTCCTGATCTGCAGGGTCGCTCCACAGGATATCATTTAGGAGGCCGTAGTCCGGCACGTCCGTCGGGCGGGCGATGCCGCGGATATCCTCCATGTCCGACAGGGACGGCGAGAGGCCGCCGTGCACGCAAAAGACTTTTCCGGCGACAATCGCCGCGACAGGCATGCAGTTGAACACATCGATGAAGGTCTTCCAGGTTTTGATGGTCGACCGGCGCTTGCACTCGTCGTAGAACCCGTACACCCGGGTCACGTTGGCGCATTCGTGGTTGCCTCGCAGGAGGAAGAAGTTCGTGGGGTAGCGTAGCTTGTAGCACAGGAGAAGGAGGATGCTCTCCAGGCTCTGCTTGCCGCGGTCCACGTAGTCGCCCAGGAAGAGGTAGTTGGCCGCGGGCGGGAAGCCGCAGAGCTGGAAGAGGCGGAGCAGGTCGCTGTACTGGCCGTGGATGTCCCCGACCACCTTGACGGGGGCATTGAGCTCGAGGAGCATGGGCTGCGAGAGGAACAGCTCGCGCGAGGCCTGGCAGATCAGCCGGATTTCGGCCTCGTCGAGGCAAAGGCTCTTCTTCGAGGGGCCAACACGAGCAAGTAGGCGTGCGATCATGGCGTCCAGAAGAGCGTTGTCGATTACTCCCGTTTCCGAATGCTCCCGCAGAGACCGAGTGGCATTTCCCGTTGGGGTGTTCGTGTCGAACTGGAGGATTATTGGTGCTTTCGGCGTGTTTTCAATGAGGATAGACTCACGAGGTTGGGCTGGTGCTCCAAGCATAGATCCGGGCAGCGGGTGCATAGCGGGAACATCGGAAACACCATCGACCTCCCCGGACTGTTGCATGAGAGTGACATCCTTATGGCCCCGTTCGGTAAAATCACCATGTACTGGCGATGGGGGTGGACTCGTCCCGTGTCTTTCCTCAGCTTCCGTTGCAAGCCGCTGTGAAATGACCGAGAAGGGCTCATCCTTCGTCGAGATAGAATTTGACAGTTCGGACTTCCAGCTCTCACTCGTCTTGTTCTCTAGCATCTGCCGTAATTTTGAATTTTGGTGCGATGTGGTATGCTGCAGACTGTGGTTGCTCTCCCCTCGCGGTATTTTTGCCTCATGGTCAGTCTGGAGGACGCCCAGGGGATCCTCAGTTTCAGTTTGTGTCAAGGGCTGTTGGAGATTTCCACCCAGAACACCAGCAGACTTGTCGCCATGGATACCATCAGTACTGTACACATAACCGTCTGCCAGATTGTCCGTGTTCGTATTATGCTCAGGTTGACTCATGATCGGGAATGGCAGACGCTGCTTGTGAGCCAGATCTTGACGCACAGGGTCATCAAGATTCATAGAAGTTTCCAGATTGACGGTCGCAAAGCCCCATTCAAACCGTCTAAGTCTTTCCAGGGGCATGTTACTACTAGAGGGAGGAACATGGATGGAAATACCCCATTCCTCTATTGGGCTGGAGCTCTCGAGGCCATTTTCAGTGGCCAGCAGCAGTTGGCGCACGGCGAAGTACTTCTCAGGGACCTTGACCAGAGTGGACTGGTTGCAATTCTGGTCAATCACCGAGTAGATCTTGCCATTCCTGCAACGCAGGATTTCGGTCACGTCCCGGGCGTATTGATGGCCACGGCTGCACAGGGACTGATTCTTCTCTCGAGTCTCGATAGGTGTCGCACACTGCGAGCAGTGGCTGGCGTGGCTCTCGAAGCTATTCAATACATGAACTTCGTCGCCATTAAGCTCTCTCACGAGCACGACGAGCTCGACGAGTTCCTCAACCCCAAAAGTAAGGGTGTTAACCCTATCCGGGTCGTTGTCTATGGTGCTCCGCTTATGAGGCTTGGACGCTCGTGAACTGGCGTTTTCAGCAGCCGAGCTATCCGATCCTTCATCCTCATACGGCGGTAGAGATTTCAGCGCAAGTGATCTCAAATGCCCAACAATATGCTCGATGATCGTGCCTCCCTGCGACGGAGTATCGCTGGAGCCACAGAGTGGACACGATTCGAACAGTGGTTCAACCGCTCGCGCGTTCCTGTCAGCCAGCACGCGAAGCTGGACATCATTGAAGGCCCCCCGGTGAGCCTGTCGCATGTGGTCTATGTAGCGATCTCGCGTGTGAAAAATCAGCAGTCCATGCGATTTCGAGTTGCAGCGCCAGCGCAAGGCATGGTGTTGCATATGTTTCAGCCATTGTTCGTTGTGACTGTATAGTTGATCCGGAGTCTCGCATTCGTCGAAGAGGCAAACGTATGAATCGAGATCATTCTTGACGTGAGCCCTAGACCTCTTAGTCAGGAATTTCTGGGGACAGAGTATGAACGGATTTGCGAGAGACCACTGGTGATACCTACTTCCATTTCGCGTCGTTCTGCATCTCCCGTGCTGGCATAGCGTAAAAGCAAAAAGGACATGTTATTTCTCCGATGGCTTCGACACACAAATCCCAATTCTTATCCAAGTCTTGCTTGAGATCCGCTTCCGCTGTCCTTTTTAAGGTCTCGATAGTGGGCAGTGATTCAGTATCGCACTCGTCAGATAATGACCGTAGGTACAGTCTATTTTTTTCCTCCAGGGTTCGTTTTATTCTTCTGTATCTCTGTCTCACGCGGCCAAGAGGTGGCGCCGGAAACGGCAGCGCTTCGTGGCTGTCCAGCGCTACCGTTCTCGCACCGGAAACTGTGGAGGGGGTAGAAGCCTTCCTAAACTTCTCGACGGCTAGCGTGGTTGCACTGACTCCAGCTTGAGAGTTCGCCGGCACTTCAACGGCAATTGGAGGCGATGGCGACGGGACCGCGGGGGTACCGCCAGCGGTCTGCTGAGGCGCATCTGTCGGCGGCGGTATTATCTTCGGCCGAGCAGTTGTTGGCGGTACCTTCAGCGCTCGATGGCCGAAACGAGATCTCTTGTACATAACTCGTCTTCGGCGGAGAATCATCGCGGAAACCAGTCGCCGCAAGACTTTCTCGTCTACATCGCGGAACCGATCGCGAATGTAATTTGCAAACACGATCTCCAGGCACGGCTCCACATCGTTCCCCTCTTCATCCCGGATCTTGAAGGATGTGGACACCTTTGCATTGTGGGCCTCGCTGCTCGCTCTTCGGATCGTGTTGGACAGTCGATGAAGAAGTGCTATCTGACCGACAACGGCGCGCCTTGAACGAGTGCTCGTTTCGCTTGCAGATGCGAAAGCAATCTCCGATATCTGAGATCTGGGGATCGACTCACAAAGCATGTGCGACCCTGCCAAATGATTCAGTATGTCTGGTTAGTATCCCATCCTGGCGCGACATCTGTCTCACTTACAGGCTTCGACTTGGTCTTCAAGCGTTTCTAGAAGCCCGATAATCACTTCATGCACCTCCTGTGCTTCTCTCAGGCGGTGATCCAATGAGGCGCGTCCTCCGGCAAAAACACCGATATTGGCCGCCCAGAGAGAGAAACGCGCGAGCTGGTCTTCTACCAAGGTCATTTCGAGAGACGAGATCGATGCAGACTGCTGCAAGCATTGCTGGAAAAGATTCGAGCATCGATCGGCCGTTGCCGCAATTGTGTGGTACTGTTCTGGCTCTGGTGACATGCCGACAACTTTTCCCCCCAAAGGAAGCAATCTCGAGAAATCAGTCGATGAAAGGCTGCATGACTGATTGATGAGAAGATGCGAGGCTGAGACGTGCCACGAGAGGAAGACCTGGCCCAAACCGGTTTAGTGGGTTTGAGGGAGGCACCGATAAGGCATACCCCGCATCTTCAAGGTCGACGACTCTTCCACGGCTCAGCCTCGGGGAACATTAGCACGCCGAGTAATGCAAGGAATGGCCATGATGGTCATTCGAAATGTGGAACTATTGCTTCAGGTGTCGGAGATGTTTCGTGAAATTGCCAAACATCTCCGTAGCCATGGCGCTACCCGAGAGTCTAAGCATTTCTACAGCAGCGTAATGGCTCATTGCTTGATGATCCACGATTACATCAGCCGCATCGAGACCTTCATTGCCGATGATAATATTTTGATCACGAGCATATTGCTTCGACTCGAGGCAACTGTCACCCCAGATATCTTGAAAGCGCAATCGGTGCTCTCAACCACAATCCGATCAGGGCTCCCAACCACGGCTTATCCCCGGCTCGCAGCTCTACACGTCGCGTGGAACTATGCTCGCCGTGAGGGCGGTACGGTTGACCTGCAGCTTGTAATGCTATCAATTGACCTCGCAGACGATTCAGAGCAACCGGATAAGCTGATTGAATTTTTCGAAGACTGGGAAGATGACCTCAAGGTCCAATATCCCGATGACCCAACACTGTGGGCTCGAGATGATATGGTTAGCTTGAAGAAGAATAGGAGACAGCCTTCATACTTGGCTTTAAATGCTCCGCAGTCACTGTTCCTTGCCCTGGTTGATTCAAAAGACTGTACCTGCCAGCCTGTACATGACTTCGGTGTTCGACTTTGCCTGGGAACATTTCAGACCCTCCCGGAGGCTGACAAGGAGCGGGATCACGACTGCGCGTTCGAGATGTTTCTGTCTATGCAACATGAGTGGCACGAGACAGACGTGTGTTTTGCTAAGAGTGCTGGAATCAACTTTGCGCAAACCAACAAAGCCGTGCAGAGGCCAAAGGTCCCCGCCATGAAGATCAAGAGTCTATGTGAACCCATTAAAAAGAGAAAGCCTTATGATCGTCTTAAGCTGAGAGTTGGGGAAGATGGACGACTGTGGAAGCTGCGATCCGAGAAGTGCTACTTTGCAGTGGATGAGACGAAAGCACCGGTATCGCTACAACATCTTATTCAGGGCCAGTATAGGTCGCTGACAGACAAGACCAAACGTATTCTGGCCGTGATTCTTGGATACGCTGTTCTGTACCTTCATGAGACTCCCTGGCTTCCGCCCTCATGGGACCCATCGAGTATCTTGTTCTTCCACACGACTTCGTCGGCGATTCCTCTCAAGCCTTTTATCCAAACTCAGTTAGCAAGGGATCACGCGGTCGCTTCGCCGGAAACTTCCATTCTTGATCCCGATGACTTTGATCCCGACGATTTAGACCCTGATGACATTATGATCCACCAGTGTCCGCATCTGGTGACGCTGGGGATTGTGTTGATGGAACTGTACCTCGCCACCTCCTTCAAAGAACTAGCTGAGAAATACGGTGTGTCTTTGAACGATCGAACGAGGCCTATCGATGCAGAGCTAGTGTTTGAACAGTGCAAGAATGAAATCCCGGAGAATTCCCAATTTCATTACGCCGTGAAGAAATGCTTAGACCCAAAAGTGTGGGAGGATAACAACGGGGCCCGATTGAGCGACAATGCACTGAAAGCCGCAATATACCAGGAGGTTGTTAGTCCATTAGAGGATGAGCTGAGCCAAGCATTTAGCTACATCTCCCTTGAGCAACTTGATCGCATTGCGCAAACTCTAGACCTAGCCAGTTGGGGCCAGGCTATCCAGAATTATCAAACTTCTCCTCGCTCTCCTGGAACTCCCGTCGACATGGCATTGAGACCAGCACAGGGGCTCTCATCAATCCAAGACTTGAAAGATCAATATCAACAACAGCAGAAATACCTAGCGCATATTCAGGGATCCGTCACGTTCCCAGTGATGCCTATCTTTCAGCCGGTTTCGTCTGCGATGCTCGTGCCCCAGCCCGGAAACTCGTCTGATTTCAATTACCCGAGCATGAGATTCTTTGATGATGAGACAATTGCCGAAGAGCACTCAGCGGAAGCGTAAGTCTAACCATTATGCACCCTTCAACTGAAGGTCCAGCTAATAGCGATATAAACGAGCCAGGTGTCTAAACTACCGCAACTGGCGTCGGAGATTCAAAGATGTCTACGAGAAGTACATCCTTCAGCCACCCAATATCCCAGTAAAAATCGCGGTTTTCGATACGGGGGTGGATCAGACACACCCAGACGTAGATGCATGCATTGAGCAGATCAAGGGTCAATTCAATTGGACGAATGAGAAGTTTCCTCGGCTGGTCGACGACTACAACGGACATGGGACATTCATCACAAGCTTGCTCATGGAATATTGCCCCGATGCCGAGATCTACATCGCCAAGATCTCCGACGGCAAACCATGCAGCCCCAGCATCATCGCCAAGGTAAGATCGGACATGGTGTTGTAAGAGCACATCAACTGATCTTGATAGGCTCTCGACTATGCAGTCAACGAATGGCAGGTTGACATCATCTCCATGTCGTTTGGCTTTCACTCACGTGATGTCGAAGGTTATGATGAATTGGAACGTGCCATTCACAACGCATACTCCAGCCGCGTTCTTCTCTTTGCTGCCGCCTCGAACAGCGGTGCGAACTTGGACAGGGCTTATCCGGCCCGCGATGAGAACGTGATCTGTATCAACTCGACCGATGCGAACGGGAATCGCTCACCCTTTAGCCCTACTGCTCTTGCGGACACATTGAACCTGGCCACCGTCGGGGAAGCCGTGGAGTCCGCTTGGCCCATGCGGCTTTGCGAATTGCCGTCCGGTCTCAAGCATAGATCGGGAACATCATATGCCACCCCCATCGCGGTTTCCATCGCGGGCTTCCTGCTGCAGTACGCCCGCTTGCATATCCCCGAACAGGCCTACCTGTTCCAGCGACAGTCGAAGATGAAAGCCGTGCTGCGAAAGATCGCGGAGAAGAGCCTGGACTCGCGCGCCCGCGATGATTACCATTTTGTAGCCTTGAGCCTTTATTCCGATAATCTATTTGGAAAGGATCCGGATTTCATCAACCATACACTGCGCGACATACTCCGCCGCTAGTCACTGGAGACTTGCTGCGCCGTCCGACCGAGGCACTCCAACCGTAATGAGCTCGTCTCCCTCGGTCATTTGCATGCCTGTCCACTCTTTCTCATCGCCGCCCACTTCCAGCTCTTCCTCCTCAAGAACTAAAACACCCTGCGATCCGCCCAAGACCACAGGCTCATTCCCCAGCATAGCGCCTTTCGCATAATCTTCCACCTCGCGCACCTCGTTCGTCTTCCTCGCCACCTTGATCCTCTTGACACGAAAGGCTAGAACAAAATCCCCCCCATTCTCCCAGTCCATACCCACCTTCTTGGACTGGGTGAGTTCAAACTCCGGGCCCCCAGCCACCGGAACCACGCCGCCGCTCCACACCGTCCCGTCCACGGTGGCCGCCAGATTGCCGCTGGTCTCCCGCCCGGTCCGCGACCGGCCCGCCTTCGCCCCGTGGACAACCTTCAACCCCACGATGAGGTACAGCGGCTTCCGGTATCGGGACCGCTCGAGCCACCGCTGCACCACGGGGGAGGCGGCGATGCATTTCTCCTGGACGTAGCTGGGCCGCGGCACAAATTGCGTGGTGGTGATGGTCTCGAAGCGGAAGGTCTCCTCGTCACTGCAGCACGTAGAGGTCAGAGTTTCCCTCATTTCTGTTTGCGCCATGTATTTAGGGTGTGCCCTTGTAAACTATCATAGTATAGATCCAAGCACTGCACATGCAGACCCAAAGATTCCCAAAAAAGATATCGCACCTTCTCTCCCACGCACCCCCAACATCCACCCCGAACCCCAGCCACGAGAGGAACTGGGTGAGGACCCCGAACTTCCCGGCCCGCAGGCGCTCGCGCGAGAAGGTGACGGCGGTCTTGTCCGAGGCGAAGACCTCGGATGCGGCGGGCGGGGACGCGGTGAAGAGGGGCTGGTCGGGTTTCTGCAGCGAGGTGAGCACGTTGCCCAGCTGGATGGGCCCGGCGGGCGGCGGCGGGTAGTCCCACGTGGGCGCGAAGAAGAAGTAGGGGGTTTGGTTGGCCATCACTTCTTTTTTTTTTTTTTATTATTCCTGGAATTGCTTTTGGGGTTTTCCTTTGTCTCGGCTTGGTTTTCTGGTATGGATTTACTGAACACGTGGGTTAGAGTAAATGAGCACATCTTGGAGGAGAGCGGTCGGTGCAACTTGCGGCTGACGGTCGAAAGGGCGGGGTTCGGGGCGCTTGTCTTACCTAGTCTGTACTAGTGATGCAGGCGCCACCTTGACAGTCTGTCCAGCCTTGGTGTATGCGCTCCTGGGGAAACTGTACTCAGTACTTTCTCAATTCTTTGTAAATTTAGAGTAGTCGATAATAAGATAGGATTCTTATTGTTGCAAAAATCTAATCTACTCTCATGTAAATAGCTGCCACGCGGTGGCCCAACTCAGCCACTGATCCCAGAAAGGACGTATAGGTGTAAGCTGGAGGGTTTAGTGCTGAGCCTTACAAACTGCCCTGCGGGAAGATCACGTGCGCGCATCATTAGGATCAATAGATCCACAGCTAGGGCTGATTCATGGGATGAATCAAGACTACAGGTAATGTTGACCGAGCGGCTATTGTTTTGAATGATTCCTATTGTTCTTTCTCTACACCAGGCAGCTCTCACCACTTCAGCCGCGCCGTGTAGATAGTTCCTTCCAGATATCCTAGAATCTACCATCTTTTACACTCTCCGTCAGACCGTTGCCTCAAAGACTATCTGCTATTCTCTTCCAAGATCTCTAAACTACAATATAAACTAACAAAGTCAAGTGTCACAACGAACGATAGCTCGATATTCAGGCCAAGTCAAAGGGATCGGGGCGTTTACACCAGTCCCACTGCCCCCACCTCAGCCGCCAATTGTATCTTTTCTGTCTGACGTCGACCGTGAATTGCCCCCCTTCGCGCCCCAATTGTTGAAACTCCGCGCTCTCACTGAGTTGCTTCAGCCTCGAGAAAACATAGGTCACCAGCAGATTCCGCAAACAAGATCGCTCATCGTCACGAGGGAGGGTATGCAGGTACGAAATGCGCACCACTTCAATCAGATTGTGCACGTGGTCCTCGAACAACTCAAAATCTTCGAGTGTCGTCGCCAGCTTTCCTAAAACTAGATCCCGAAGGCGAGCGATGCCGTATTGATCCGCCAAGACGTATAGTTTGACATGGGCGAGAAGGTCGGGCGTCCGTGTTGTCCGGCGGTGGAGGGGTATCTTGCGAGGAGCATAGGCTTGCTTTCCAGCTTCGTAGGCTTGGCTCTGCTTAGTCGTGAGGGAGGAGTGCAGATGTTTGAAGGCATCGCGAGTACTAGACGGGTTAAAAATCCAAGGCAAATCCCGGGCGACCGCTTCTGAGCCAGTGTCTGGTTGTGAAACTGATCTGTCTAAAGTGTTTGGGGGTGCTGGAGGTCTCCAAGATTGACCGGAGATTTTGTTTCTAACACTTGACAGGCGCGGGGCGAAAGAGCTTGCTTTAGGCCTCCAGGATTTGCTGTAGATTCTTTTCCTATCACTCGACAGGACCGGGGTGAAAGGGTTTGCATGAGCCTCCGACGGAGATTGATTGGTGGTATCTGATGGCTGAGGAACCCTGATGATATTTGGTGGGGGCGTGTAGTCACCGACGTACGCGTACTCGCACAGCCGGATGAATGTGCCCTCCTCGACATCCGGCCAGTCGAGCGCGCTGAGCCCTTCTATGACCAGCCGCGCGTTTAGGAGGTTACCAAGCTCGGAGGAGACGCTTGCTAGGACTTCGGAGTGAACGGTGATCCTCTTCCCTTCCGCACCGACAGCGAATGTAAACAATCGAGATGAGATGATTCTGTTTGCAACGTTGAGTCAGCATTCGGCCACGCGGGACCATCACAACAGGGCACAAGGTCTCACTTGGCGAATTTTGTATCCATGGACGCAAATGACCGTGGAAGGATTCTGCAACTCAATAGAGAGAGGGGTTGAACGGGAAGAAAAGCGTAGCGTATCGCCGTTCTGAGTAGTTGGGGTCTATGTACTGAATGCCGGTGATCAATATAGTCACGCTGCCAGGTGGTGGACGGGGCAAATCAGGTAGCCAAGGAGCGGAATCAGAGGTAAATGAAGTAATGATATCGGTGTCTAGAATGATACGACAATCGTAGGAAGAATAGAATTCAAATTCCGATACAATGATCCTAAATGTAACTGCAATACATGAAGGATGAGGCATAGGGATCACTGTTGCGAGTAAAATAATTCAAATGATTGTTGCTCTGAGCTTGCCAGAGGTGAAGGATGGGTTTTTATTGACTACGAGAGGAGTGCGCCTGCCTCAGCTATGTAAGATCTCAGAGACATTGTGATGGGGAACTGCGTAAGCATGCGGCAGGATGGAGAAAGCACGATGTGGACCACCCGGGCTGTCAAACAGCCTGCCACACCTGGCAGCTTTGTGCTCTCAGAATTAGCAGGTTGGTAAGATGGGGTTCATGGGAGCCGGACAATTCATACAAGCATAGTAGCTCATATAAGCAAGAAATTGCGCGACGATTCCTGCTTGGAAGGTGGCTCGTACAAGTGAGGCGGTGCATACGAACACGTTGGCCTACCTGAACAAGGTGGTCTAAGTAACCTGAAAGATCTCGCAGTTGCAGAAGTATTACATAACAGCAGAAATTATAGATACCAATCACAAGGATCATAGATGACTTCAAATCAAAGACGCCTTGAGCACTGATAGTCGAGAGCCAGCTACAGTATATAGGAGTCCTGGATATCCACTAGGTAATGAGCGCAGCCACTCACTTGTCACTTGGTAACCAGTCCCTCATGGGGCTCAGCATTTAACATACTTCGTAATCATGGAATGATCTCGTAAAGCTGGTATAAATCAACATAAATCCGTAAAGAGCGCAATGGTCAAATCAACATCTTTTCATCAGATTCTAGCAAGAGTTGAAAAACGGGGGAAAAAAGATATGTAGTCCCAATAGGGTGGAAGTCTAAGAGAGATGTGCTCAAATCGGTAAAGCAAAAGAGACCTAGACACCCTACACTTCACGAAAAAGCGACCTCAGGTCACAATCGCCGTCTTTATCAAGCTCTAATTCCCGTCCAAATGAACGTATCAGCGGTAAGGAGTCAAGGCTCGAATGCCCATAATCTCATCGTGAAGATGCACCGTTAAATGGGCGATGGCACTGGGCCCCAACCACGTGGAACAGAGAGGGCACTTCTCATCCACCAGATCCCTCCAGTCATGTTTGACCATATGGCCCTCCCAAGCCGCGACCGTCGGAAACGCCGCGTCCACGCTGCATTGCTCATGCAGGCAAATGTACGGGTGGAAATCGTAGAGCACATGGTCCCGCCAGGGCGCCGGCGCACAGATCGCCGCGGGGATGAAGTCGCCGCAATACGGGCACTGCACCTCCTCCTCCCCGGGGCTTGGCGCTGGCGGGGGCGGGAAGTTACCGCCCGGCGAGCTGTGGTCGTCCGTCTGCGGCCGGGGGGTGCCACCCGGCGTCTCGCGCCGCTGCCATTGCAGAAACCGCCAGCGCACGAGCTTCGCGTCCGCTAGCCGCTCGTGCAGCGCGGGGCTCGCGTCCGGGTACGAGGTGCGGAGGCTACGCAGTGCCTGCTGCCGGTAGTCGGCGCTGCGGTCGTCACCAATCTCATCAGGAACATCGTAGTCTGGACTCGTGAGGATGAACGGCGCGCTTTCATACGTCCGGCCCCGTTGTCCGCCGCGGAGGGTCAGCAACATGAACTCGATCCAGTGTTTGGCTTCTGTTTGCGCTTCTTCGAAGGCGAGCGTCGCTGCGTCGCACCAGATGCCGTTGTCCAGGGGACTGGCCTGCGAGAGGGCGACCTCCACGTTGGCGAGCGCGTAGGCGACGCTGAGCCGCGCCATGGGCAGGGTCCGTAGCTTGCTGGTGCACGATGATTGATAGTCGGTCAGGAATTGGCCCTCGAGTTCCAACCATCGCAATGGGTCTCCCGGTCCCGACCGGGACCGCGGGATCGCCTTGTGGAGTTTGCTGCATCGCAGGACTTGCGCCGTGAGTTGGGTGTTCCTGGGAATGGCCACTGTTAAGGTACGGGGGACTGCTTCTGCCGACATTGGTGGGTTCTTGGTGGTTGGACAACTTATTATGGGAGATGATAAACATTTATGATGATGTACAAGCCGGCATATATACCTTCTGCTGGCAGCGCATGGGCCAACGTCTTGAAGATGGTGTACAATGGAACATCGAGTAGGGGGGTTATTATAATGAGAAGAATGACTGGGTTGCGCATGGTGCGTCCAAACAATAAATCTGAAGATCAGGATAAAGGAAATCTACTGCTATGTGGATGAAGTTTGCCAGTACCAAATGCGACTCAAAGGAAGTCACGGACTAAGGTAAGAGCCATGAAGTATCCGCCCCCTGCGATAGATAAGGCTAAGCATGAACTCTGGGATTATGGCACTAAAGCAATATGTAGAGCTCATCACTTACTGCATTTCGTTGATCCCCTCGACACCGTGATAGCTCCAGGTTTCCTCGTCTTGCGCGGTGCCGAGCAGCAGGAGCACCCTGACAAAGTCGCCGGCCTCGAGCGCGGAAAACCCCAACTTTGGGAGAAAATCGCCGTCCACGACGGGGTTAGGCCGGTTGAACGTGGTGAGGTCCCTGCTGAAAACTTCGGAGAGAGTGGCGGCCGAGACACGGCGTAGACAATCCAGCGTGCTGCCCGAGACGGCATCGGTGCAGTTCGTAGCATTCAGAAAGGCCTCATACAGCGGCTGCCAGTTCGTGGCCGCGACGGAGGGCCACATCAGCATGGGACTGCCACTCTGGGCGATCGCAGCGCGGAAGAGCCCATCGTCGCGGCCCGCGTAAGCTAGCAGCTGCAAGCCGACGCTGAAGGCGCCTGCCTCCTGACCCCAGATGGTAATTTTGGTCGGGTCGCCACCAAAGGCCGCGATGTTCGGCACCCACTGCAGCGCCAACCGCTGATCACACAAGCCCAAGTTGGTCGCTCCCTCGCGCGCCACCCCCTCCCCATAGAGGAATCTCCAGTAGCTAAGTCGGTAGTTCAGCGTCATCTCGACAAACTCCTGCCCGTTTTGCACCTCCACCTGCAGCAAAGATATCATATTATAGCGCGGGTCGCTGCCCGCCCCGTGCTTGAAGAGCCCCCCGTAGATATACACCACCACCGGGAGTAAGCCCTTAGACGAGGACACATTGAATACCCGTACTACATTCAACGTCAGCCAATCCTCCGACACGTGCTCGCCATTAGCCATCTGCGTCGGCCCATACCCGTAGCACATGGGGCCCATCTCCGTCGCGTTGTGCTCGCCTACCCAGGAGGTGTTGAGAGAGTGCGGTGGGCGGAATCGCAGCTCGTCTACAGGGGGCTGCGCATATGGGATACCGAAGAAGTAGTCCTGACGCCATTTGGGCTGATGGATGCATAGTAGGTTCCGTTCCGCGTTTCGGCAGCAGGGTGCTACACAGAGGAGGAGGAGGGGGAGGAGGATGAAAGGTCTTGTCCACGGCCGACTTTGAATCCCTCAGCCGTGATGGTCAAAGCCGCCAACCCGAAGGTGTAAAGTCCACGCATATGTGAGAAAGACCTGGAGATTGCGCTGTGCAGGTGTTTCCCCGTCCAGGCAGGGGATGCCTAGATATACCCACGGCACTTAGAGCGCTGTCGTTGGCTCCCGCATAGATACATTAGAAAAAAATCTCCGGCTCCGGCTAAGTTTGCGGCAGATCGTGCGCTGCATGCCACCGAGTCAACATTGGCTTGTATGATCTTGTCATTATCGATGTACCAGTATGTAGCCAAGGCTACAAGGACTGCGGTAATTGGCGTCCCATTTTTGCATGGAGACACTACTCCGACAGGGTTCGAGCACCTGAATGACTTTTCGATCAAGAATTAAATGACAATTTGTTGAGGATTAACAGGTCGTGGTGTTGAAAGTGATGAAAAAGGTCTATTCTACGAGAGGGATTATAATCCGACAAAGGTTGTTAAAGATGGTGGATTTCAGGCTATCTGGAAGGGAGTGTTATAATACACATAGTACAGAAAGGATAGTGGCCACTCTGCGGTGTATACCTTTTTTAAGCCCTTTACGTCTCTCTCAAAGCTCTTTTGATCCCCTCAGGGCCTTCTTGAACACGTGACTATATAAGCCCTCTTCACATTAGGACTTCCAGGATCTTTTTCGAGTTGTCACAAGGGATATCTTTTACTATACTTTCAGTATCGTTGTGGGAGTTATACAGAGGCTCAAAATCTTTAATTCTTATCATTCTACCGGCAGTTTGGTTTTGCAAAGCGGCCACCCCATCCTTCCGTACAGATGGCGCGACAAAAGTGGTGAGAGATTCCCAGCAATCGGAGGCCCGAGACTCCGAACTAATGATACAGACTACGGTATCAGCAGAAGCCAAACAGACTCTTTCACTAACTAGAGCGGTGGCGGATACAGTGACTCCAAGCAAAGAACACATTTTATGTGTAATCAAAACGTCAAACAGTGGATGGCGACAACTCCCCAAAGCACCCAACCTCACCAGAATGTCGAGGGCTTCACCCCACAGGGGTCGCCAATGGAATCCGAACGAGACGAAAACGAGTCCCCACCAAAGTCGGACCAAGAGGCAGCGTCCGAGCCCTCGCTCTCCCTGTTGTCACTACCAGACAGCCCCAAGCCAAAAGCTTCGTCGCGCAGTCTCCTCTCTCGGCGCGCCCACTCCCCCAAGAGAACTGGGTTCTCCAGCCCCCAGACTAAAACATCTCTGGTCGCCAACGCATCCTCGACGGCACTGTGCCCCTGACTACCGCCCTGGATATGTCGTCCCAGCATGTCCATCGCCAGGGTCTTCAGCCCCCACAGCCGCGGGAACCGCCTCATCTCTCCCCACTGCGTCGAGAACACGGCTTCGGCCGTGACAATCGCCGTGTCGACCACGCGCGGATGGATGATCCCCAAGGCGTTGAGATCGTTGTGCAGCGCATGCCCGATCAGCACCGTGTCGAGGTCGACGAACTCCCACAGCGAGTGGCGGGCCGCCCCCCACGACTCGAACGCCTGCCCGTGCTTGATGGCCGCGTTCATCTTCCTCGGCGTGATGCCCGTGACGCGGGTGTTCCAGTACGTCACCCGCCCCGCGGGCCGCACGTAGCGGTCGATGAGCACCTCCCCGGTCAGGAAGTCCACCGCTGCGAGGTAAGCCAGCGCGTTGTAGCTTCGACCCCGTTCGTAGGGGTCGTCCGTCATCATCATCTCGCAGTCGATGACCACGGCCTTTCTTGCTCGTGGTCTGGTGTGTGTGGGCGTGTGTTGGAAGAGCGACTTGGGGATCGCTTTGTTCCACGGTTGGTGCCATGTTGCCTCGGCTGTCGAGAGGTTGTACCCCTGTCTGCTGAGGCAGGTGGTTGAGTGGCAGCGTGGAAGGAGGCGTGCCAAGAGGGGGTCCTGCTTTGTCAGGACTGATGATGTCGTGGTGATGGTGGTGGTGGTAGTGATACTGTCACTCTTACGTAGAGTGACTGGCTCCATAGCCAGGCCGGATGACTGCAACGGCATCTCCATAGGGAGAAGTGATACCTCGCCCATGTCTGTCAGGTAGGCGACTCGAGGATGCTGCCGGTTCTTTGCATCCGCACAGCTCGGCTCAGAAGGCTGCGCGCTGGAAGTCGAGGCGAGAGGCTTTGCTGTCGTGCCTTCATGGGGTTGAGAAGGGCAAAGACATGACCCCTTTGCTGCTGATGTTGAGCCATGGGCGGCTCGTTGGTGCTGAGATACTGCATCTGCAGTAACGAAGGACTTCAGACAGCTCGTACAGGCGAGTCTGTGCCACATGGAGATTTGGTGCTCTCGGAGAAGTTCCACGCTCTCATAGAACTGCTGGCAGATAGGACACGTACGGTCTACTGCTGCGGTGATGCTTATTGGGCCCGGTTGTCTCGGGCTAGAAGTGATTTGAGACATGGTCGTTGTGGTGGTGGTGTTGAGGGTGGAGATAAACATAGAAGGTCAAGTTCTAAGTGGTTGGAGTTGATGTTACGGATACGAAGAAGAGAAAGAGAGCTGGCTTTTGTCTCGGGGGTAGGTTGTAGTTTTGCTTCTCTGCAGGGTTGTCCTTGCGAGCGTTGACTCATAGTGTCTCGTCAGTCTACCATCATGCGATGATGCTTCGTAGAGAGAAAGACGGCTGGGTTACCGCAATTCCACGCTTCACGCTTGGCAGACTTTCCCAAGCATAGCAACCACAGGAGCAGCATTACGAGGGCTCTAGTCTAAGTCGAACTTTCATCGGTTTCTTCAAAAAGCCAAGCGAGGAAAATTCAGAGAACTGACGTAGTACTGCCAGGGCGCCGGATCGACCAACGAGGCGGATTCATCCATTTTCAGATCAACACTGCAAGGATGAGAAGAATCCAAAGCTACACAAACCATACCTCGAGAGAGGCTGGATGCTTCCATTTGCTGTAATCCGACGTGAGCCTTGAGATAATGTTTTTTTTACCTCCTGCATCGTCTCTGAGATACAGATACGAATTCGTGTAATCTCGGAAGAGAAAAGACGATATCATGGAAGTTTATTGAGTTCCCCGCACTAGTAGATGGTGCTTGAGATTCAATCGAGTTATTTCTCAAATATTAATGTAGATGAACTACCTAGCATCTACATCAACCTTGCCTGCTTCGAGTTTTCCGAGCCACACGCGATTCGTGTCATGCTTACTAGGTCATTGGACTTTTCGCTGGAGAGTTTATGTTGGAGTATATTTCCCTCACCCACGATGTAGAGGCTTAGAGATCCCGTTGGTCAGAATCAGTCCACTCTGGGTTATGTTGTATTTAGTAGTATTGAGGTAGGCAGGGTAGGTAGCATTACAAGATATTAGAGCGAAGGACCCGCTGGTTCCGTCTAGCAACCAATTGGAAATAGTTTCCGAGATGCGGTAATTTTATGTTCGATAACCACGCTCAATCTTTCAGTACCGGGACGTTCCCGGAACAAACTACCTTAAAACGTACCTTAAAAGTCAAGCGGGTCAAGATCTGGACCCTGACCCGGATTAGGGCTCGATAGGCACTTCCCTTTGGGTCTAGTGCCGCCAGGTTACCGGAACGACAAACCAAGACAAAAAAAGTCAACAGCGACCGACAGCTTGGAACCTTGAAACAAACAACAATGTTGTTTTTTTGAGCATGTGAGTGGATACTGCCTTTACCTCTCGGAGTAGAGTTTAGGTGGATGTGGAGTCCTTTTCTAGTGTTATCTGTGGTCAATCTGGAATGATCGCTGCAGAATGAGTTGTTGCATGCTTGATCAGCAAGGTCAGATAGCAAGTGTTCGCTGGATCGGTTGGAGAAGTCACATGTCGATGCAAATCTGGTGTGCTCGTGGAAATGAGACCTGTCAGATTCGGGAACAAGCGGTGAACAAACCATGATATTGGTTTGGTTCCGACTTAAGTCAAGCACGGCGCGGCATCTGCAATCCCGCCAGGAGAATTGCACGTGATGATAGGGATAAAAGCTTAAATTTGCTGTCCGTCAACACATGTGACGAAATCTTCTCCTCGAGCTGAAACTTCCCGCAAACGGAATATCAGATCTCGAAAGGCAGCTGTCAACCCCGATTAACTCAATTTGATCACCGTTCTTGGAAAAGAGACTGGCGTTTACACACCCCTCCCTATTGCTTAGTCCCCTGTCAGGCGCGCACCATACGCTCGTTGCATAGGACTGAGCAGCTGTCACGAAGGTCAAGTACACCATGACAATCCCCAGCAACGCGTCATCCGACACTCTCGAATTTCCTCCAGACCTTCCGGTCGCGAAGCTGCAGACTATCGAAGTGGGGAGGCTGCAAGCTGGCGACCAGAATGAAGCTCACCGTCTACTCGAGGCTAGTCGAAAGGATGGTGTCTTCTACCTAAATCTTGCATCTGCGCAGAAGGAAATTGTTCCGGTCCTGGATTCTGTCTACGAGCTTTCAGAGGGACTCTTTGACCTGCCGCTCGAAGAGAAATGTCTGTATGATGTGGATCGGTTGGGTAAGATGAAGTGCAATGGGTACGTTATGCTTCCTTATAATTGAAATCCTGCTGCAAACATGGCTAACGCGAGCTGATCAGGTACAAACCCGTGGGCCGTAATTTTGGTGGGCTAGAAGGAAAGCGCGATGGATTCGAGACCTACGTGGTAAGATCTGAGATCTCCTCTCATCCATGAAACTAATCAAAATCCATTTGATCATATCTAACAAACCCAAAAGATCCCGAAGAACGGAATCCTGAGCCTAAACGATCAGCAGGACTTTCCCCGCCCCCACCTAATCGACCAATACATGAATACCCTGCGACAATTTACCAACTTCGTCAATACAACATCCCAGACCATCTTCGACCAACTCTCCCACTCCCTACAGCTTCCCGAATCCGGGAACCTGAAGCGATTCCACCGCCCGTCCGCCCCATCACCCGACATCATCCGCCTCCTCAAGTACCAGCCCCAGCCCGCCGAGCAGCGCGGGGTCCCGCACGCCGCCCACACCGACATGGGCACGCTGACCTTCCTCTTCACCCGCCAGCCCGGGCTGCAGATCCAGAATCCCGGTGAGGAGTTTTGGAGATGGGTGCTGCCGCGCGAGGGCCACGCCATCGTCAACCTGGGCGACGGGCTCTCCCTGCTCACTAACGGCTACCTACAGTCCTGCGTCCACCGCGTGGGGCCTCTTCCCGATCGAGCTATGCCGACCCGCTATTCATTCGCGTACATGGTGCGCCCCGAGAATCAGACGGTGATGGCCGCGCCACAGACGGGATGCGTCCCTGCTCGTGACCCCGATGCGACGGTGCTGACGGCGCAGGAGTGGTTGGAGAAGAAGTACTCGGTACTGCGGTTGGATGCGCGGCCGGATGATCTGGTGTGGATGATGACGGGGCAGCAGAGCGGGTAGAGGTCTCCTGCGTTTGGATGGGATATGGTGTACAGTCAGTCAGCTTTGGACAAGGTGGTGGGGTGTGATTGATGTGTATTCTTGATTGTAAGGACATCTGATTTTGGACTCATCAGACCAGTTTTCAGGACGGTGGCGAGGATTTGGAAAACTGCAAACGCGTTTGGGAGAGAGCTGGCCGTGGTACTCTCTCCCGCGGCCATGTTAAGGGCAAACGCATCAATGTGAGCATCCACAGCGAGCTGAATCTCATTCTCCTAGTCTTCTGAGGTGTATCCTTCCGTGTTCGAGACCATGAAATGAGCGAAGACAGCGCGAGCCTGAACCTGATTCCAGAACAGACACGCTCCGACAAGTAGCCAGAGCCATGCTTGGACCAAAGACTTCATGGTTTCAAGAGTAGAGTCGTAGAAAGAGTGACGATAAGATTGTTAGGACGAGAGGAAAGGAAAGGACAAGGAAAAAAGGCGGCGTTCCTAGTAAGAGAAGCCAAGAAAGAAGAGCAGAAAGGGAAAGAACGAGCGCGAATTAGGCAACGAACTGACTTAAGGAGTGTCAGTCATTCTACCGGCCAGGAAATAAAAAGATCGGAAGAGAGAGAGAGAGAGAAGAGCTGTTTCTTGTAGTAGAAACCAGAAGAAGCGTTTATCTTCCCCAGAAGCATGCCATGCTTAAGGGATCGATGGCAGGCGCAAATCCTTGACAGTATGCACAAGATGTGATCCCCAATTCACCACGCGAAAATGTCACTATATATATCGTCGGCGTTCCTGAGTTATCCGGCCATGTTATCAAACGCGGTTACCAGGCTGCTCCACATATTGATATCTCTGATATCTCAACCATCGAGAACTACCAAGCAATCAATATTTCATCCCATATTGCCCAATCCTGAGTCTGTCGAAGATCCTTTTCACGTGACCTCGGACTTTACCACTTCCCGTGTGCCTGAGACCCTCCAGATACTACTCCAACATACACACCCTTTAGCTGTCACAAAAGTTCTCATATCGCTTACATATATATCTTGACCATGATCTTTGAAGCAAGCCATAAAATCAATAACCCAGGCAGGTTTCATATCCACAGCGTGTTGTTGGAAATCGAAGTCCCCACATATTCTATCTTGTCGAGCCAGGTTGACGAAAGCTAGATTTTTCTCCAGTCCGAAGCCCAGTCTATCTGTAATCATTGGGAATCAGATAGAAGGATGTGAAACAAGAAGTATCTTGAGAATGATACTGTCGCAGTATGGTGAGAAGAACGTCTACAATATATCATCTTACTCGCCTCCTGAGTCTAACCACAATGCGGCCCAAAAGAATCATCATAGATTAGAGATTACTATCGCATACAAGAACGAAGTAAAGCTGCTCAAAATAGCAGTGGGTGAACACATTGGCCGCGAGGGATAGCAACGCCCATCACACTACCAAAAAGCCAAGACCCTTAAATCACACCTCCACTCCAAGTGTTGGTCTCATCCCTCTGCTATCATGTCAAACTGCTTCAGACCATGGAAGTGGATTGGTAATCTATGCTCGTTAAGACACTTTGATATAACGTGGCCTTGCAATGCTGTCTGGCATTGCCCGCAACACGCGATCTGGGAGGAGAGGGGAGAAGAGGAAAAGGCGCAAAACAACTTGAGCCTGATTAATCAGGATAAATCAGATAACAGAAGTCATCAAACAAAGTATGCCAGCCATGGCCATCACGATGAAATTCCTGGGCAATAATGGCTCTTTCCTCCTTCATTCGCTTCCGAAATTGGATCGCCTCTTCCAGCATCATGAGCCCAGTACCCCGCGTCTCCTCGAATCCCTTGTTCGGTCCCTTCTGTATCCAGGTGGGGTTCTGCGGTGGAACATTCTGGGTGGAGCAGATTCGGTAGTGAGGATCCACCAGCCAGAGGGTCACAAACCTAAGACGACCGGGCTTTGCGGGATCGTGCAGAGTAAAAGATTCGGCTTTAGACCGCAGAGTAGAAGGCCAAGCGAGAAGTGCCCCGGCCCGTGAGATGGGAATAGATCCCAGTATTTGCAGGGCCGGTGGTGGCCTGTTGTCCTCGTCAAGAGCGATGGGCTGTTCAGGGATACCAAAAACTCGATCCATAACAAAACAGTTATCAGGATTGAAGCCAAGTATATCAAGTCTTGTTTCGTGCTCAAATGAAAGCTTAGCATCTTTGACATTGTCTACATCAATATAGCACATGGTTGTCGCGACAATGTGCTCATTGAGGATGCCGGGGACACCGAAGGCGGGATCTCCAGCATAAAGGGGCTGCTCCGGGGTAAGCTCAATACTAGAAGCCCGAATAATGACCTGAAGCCCCTGAAATTGATCTTGAAGAGATACAGAATAGTACTGATGATCGGGGTCAGGAAGAGGCGGGTCTCCGGAGCGCTTGCTATCATTGACTTTGGGTCGAATTGCCCGCCCAGTATTTTCCCCTGTTCTCCACTCATCATACGTGAATGAAATACCAGGTTCAATACCTTTGAAAATAGACAATCGTTTACTCTTCTCACACATCAAGTCTTGGAGAGTGGTGCGCGAACTCCAGTGCCACGGCTCCATACTGGCAAGAAGATCTTTGACTTTAGATTTTGTTGGGAAAATTTGGTACCGCTTTTCATGCTCGGGCAGACTGAGGTGTTCTCTGGTTTGTAAGCGGATTTCTGCCCATGTCTCCTCAGCAAAGTTCATATCAAATGATCTTGTGGCGTTAAGAAGGTGATAAGCCCGTGGTAGCTCAGTGCTTTCACGCTCGAAGTCATAGGTTCGAATGCGGATCGGTGTTCGGCCTTGCTTTCCGAGAATAAGCATCTCATTCCACGGCTGTATGGTGGTCGAGATGAGTCTCTCAAGTGCTTGGTAAGTCCCTTTTTCTTTAGGATTCAGGCCGTTGATGTAGGAGGTAATCTCGGTCTTGTCTCGACCCGTAAGCTTCACTTCGCACGGAAGCCACTGAAAGTTGTTTGACCAGTATTTAGGCTTCCCCATCCTTCGACCATCATTTGAGTTTCTTTCGTTGGGATGTAGTTCATAGACTTGTTCGGGCAGCTTGTCGGGAATCGGAGCAGTCTTGCATCGAGACTCATCATATAAGCCCAAGCCGCCGAGGTCCACTTTGCCTCCATCGATGAGCACCTTAGTCCGTCCATACACAAGAGGATACATAGATGGATCAACTACATGCCGGATGGGGCCTTGAAGACCAGCCTCCACGGGCGCCTCTTAAGAATCGGAGTTTGGTTTTTCTGTAGATGAAAAAAGAGGTTCCATGGCTGTTTGAAGATCGGCTAGAAGATTCACATCAACTTCCGCCTTAATAACTCGAGAGTCCGCATCAAAGACTGCCACGTGACCTTTGCGCTTAAAGTCAGCTGCTTTGTCTTACAGCTCTCTGCGACACCATTCCCAGCATGGTTGATCCAGGTCGAAAACAGTATTGGCTTTAACCCGCCATGTCTCGAGGGTATCGGGGTCGTCGCATTTATTTTCCCAGTCTGGCTGCTCCGTGACGTATGATATGAACTGTAGCATACAAACCTCCCGCAGGGTCAGTTGTAGACGCTGTCTCCAGTCTGCAATTCCATATGCGAAGCGAGAGCCCCTGGGTAGCTCATAGTATAGAGGGATATCATTAAATCCGGGAACCTGAAGAGGGCCATCGCCGCTATTGTCCATTTTTAGAAATTTCTGCGAGTGTAAACAAGAAAAAGAGAATGGGCTTCGCATGTACGAAGTGCGTGTGAGGAGCTGTGAACAAGAGCGAGAGCAGAGCGGTTGTAGAGCGCAACGTGAAGCCATGGTGAGAGGACGGCCAGGTAGTGTTGCGTTGCGGTTTCAGCAATGTTTAGACGGACGATGAAGGGGGAAAGGTGAATGAAGTCAGGTGACAAAATAAAACAAGTGGTAATGTCAATACACAGGAATGAATTTGTCAGCAGGGTCTCGCAGCTGCCATCCTTTAGCGGGGATCTAGCGGGTGTTTAGCTTGGCCGTAGCTTAACCATAGCTTGTCGCGCGCATCACTAGCCTCAAAAGCTGAAGTTCTACCTCTTTTTCTCGTTTGATTACGCTGGAAATGGGCCTTAGGACAAGAACGATGTCTTAAGTCTGCTAGGCCAGTATGTGAGCAATGATGCTTACTACTTTCACGGATCAAATCCTGTTGTGTCGAGGTTCGAAGGGCCCGACAATGCAGAAGACTGGATGGATATTAAGTCCCAGTAGTTCTGCTTCTTTGTTCCCGACTGGTCGTCTGTTGGGGCCAAAGCCGCCATGGCACTAGCAGGCGGGGTTGCTGATAGTCTTTTCAGCTGGGCTGCCTGGCCTAATGGACCCAACAACATGAACACCTATATAGATGCGTCGTATATCCAGTACTTGGATAAGAAGCTATACATAATGCCGATCACTCCTTGGTTCTTCACCAACATGCCCGGGTATGATAAGAACTGGCTGTGGTGTAGTAACGATCTCTGGTATATTCAGTGGGAACAGGCACTCTACCTCGCCCCAGAGTTTATCGAGATTATCTCCTGGAACGACTTCGGTGAGTCGCATTATATTGGCCCGATTATTGACAGCCATAATTCGCTGGCTGAATCTATATACACTGAGTTTAAAACAGGCGATGCCCCTTACAACTATATTAAGGGTTTCGACCACAGCGGCTGGAGGTATTTCCTATTCTATATAATTAATCTCTACAAGTACAATAAGACCAATATTGACAAAGAAGGCTTAGTTACCTAGTATCGGCTGAATGCAGTAGGTGTGTGCCCTGATGGTGGCACAACCGGCAATACAGTATCTTAATTACAGTTAAAATACTGGCCTAAAGATATTATACAGGATAAGATCTTCTTCTCTGCACTTCTACGGCAGGTTGGAGATATTTTAGTAACTATTAGAGGAGTAAATATTGGTGCAACATAGACCAACACCCCCAGCAGTAGAGTGGGTATCTATTATAGCAGTATCTTCTTTACCAGCAAATTTAGCTTAGTTGTTATATCTGTTACTGGCTCTACCGGCGCCATCACAGTAGAAGGGCAAGATATTAGCAGCAGTTGCTGGGAAGAGAATCAAGTTGAGAACTAGAATACTTAAGTAGGCTATAGTATAGGCGGTGCAGTCGATGCAGATTCCCCCAAGCTGAATAAAAAGGTATATATTAAAGTATAGGGATTGGGTGACTTTAATAGGCTCTGTAGCTATTTCTGCAGCTTGGGCTATTATCCTGTCACAGCGTGCATTTATACAAAGTTAGGCCCTCAGCCGGATTTTCCCACGCCCACCGGAATCCAGGGCTATCCCGCCGCCGGCAAAGATACTAATTATACAGGTCTGTATTTGTTCACCTGCAATTACGGCTATTGCCCCTCTACTGTCTGTAGGACTGTCTCAGTTCCACTAACTATTCCTATAATCTTACCTTTTACCCTGGACACCTGTGCTGCCGGAACCGGAAAGAGTGAGCTTGCTGGCTTGTGCAGCTTTGGTTGTAATTATAGCTATTATTCTATCTACAACTGCAGATATACTGCTACAGGCCCACTGAATCAGCCTCCAGCCCAGAATACCAGTATTATCGGGTGGGCTTCAGATGAAGCTGATAACGGGCTTTGCGAGTTTGCCTGTACTTGTGATTATTACCCAGAGCCTGTCTGTCTTGACATGGCGTCCGATGATGAATCATATGACAGTAAAAATGACTACTGCAAGAACACTTCTCCTTCCGACTTCAGCCTCAGCTTTGACTCATTGAGTGCCCTACAGTCGGTCATGGATAGCTTAGATCCCTATTGTATTGACTTCTATGTCTTAGGCGCATTTTATAGGGAGTTGGAAGCCACAGTCGCCAACTTTACCAGTATTACCAACACAAGCAACTATAACGAGTATTTCAAGAACTACAAGTCCTATATAAAAGGCCAAGTAGGGATACAGCTTACATATTTTATAAATATCAGCAATACTGGTGCGCAGGGTGAGGGCAACCGCTTCTTTACATACACACTCAGTTTTAGAGGGGTGAACCGGACGGCGGGGCCATATCCTAACAATCTCAGATACAAAAATCGTACACATACTGTTTTTTATAACTTGATTAATACGGACGGCTTTTATAGAAACCTCAGCACCAAATTTGGAATAGAATCTGACTGGGTTGTGCTAGGGGGCTGGTCGAGCACGGAAGGGCCCTACTACAACAACAAAGACAATACCGCATGCAACATCTATAACAACCCTGAGGCTGCCTGCTGGTGGCATTGTGGCTTTCCAATTCCAGCCCAGAAGATCACCATCAACGACCCGCAAGAGCTGATGAGACAAGCCCTGCTCAATATCCCAAACCTCCAGACCTCTATCCTTATCACCAAGCTTAAGATCCTGTCAGGCTCTTTTAACAGCGTGATCAACAACATCATCTAAACATACTCTACTGCCGTATTTACCCTGGCCGAGCTGGTCGACCGCATATACTCCGTGGTCGCCATCGGTGAAAAGATTGAGGCCGAGAAGAAGAAAGAGCTGATCCCGCAGATCCTCGGAGGTGTGTTTCTGATTGTACCATTCCTTGGCCTGCTCTCTGGTCTTGGAGATGTTATCAAGGGTCTAGACGCGGCTCGCGCTCGCGGGTACCGTCGCGAACAAGGCGACCGATATCTACACCATAGTACAGGACCCAGAAAGCGCCCCAGTTGCGATCCTGAGCATGCTCCTCGACTTCAACGTTGGTGCAGCCGCCGGTGCGGCCACCAAGAATGGAGTCAGCGCGATCGAGTTCAACTCTATGGCCTTAAGGCGGCGCGGCATGAAGGACTCGGATATTAAGTCGGTCGGGGCTTTGTTCAAGCAAAAGATGGATCAATTGGAGTCCATTGTCAGCAAGTGCGCGAGGATTTAAGCCTTGAGTGAGTTATGGCCATCTTAATATAGATTCTTGTAAAAGCTTTTTCCGAGTTGCCTGTATCAATTCGTGGTATGTTCTCAACATATTGTAGGGTCACGAATTCCTTCGATGTATGTTTATGTTGCCATACCCCCTCTTGAAATATACCAAGAACATCACGCAAGATGCGAATGCGAGTCTCAATATCACTTGTAGGCACGTGAGATCAGCACCGCCACACAGATGAGGATTCGTGACATCTTCCATGACCATGGTGACCATAGATTTATTGCTACTGTCGTGCTCGGCTTGGCTCCTGGAGAATGTTCAAATAAGCCCGGCGGGGTGGATCGCACGGATCTGCGTATCACGCGGGAGATGAACGCAGGATCCGCACCCCCGCACGCAGATTTCTGAGGCTCACTACGGGCAGCACCGAGCCTATTGGTATGGTATCTTATGACTTACTCAAGTCACAATCCTTCCTAGGACTTCCAAATAACTTTGCGTATTCTGCTTTCGAGCACCAACAAGGTCGAGAAGGTTCAGCTCGGCTTGTTTTGAGCAATTTTACCCACAGGGCTGACTATTCCCAATGATGGCACTGGCATTAAATTCGGATCGGGGGTAAATGGTAGGCATATCAGCGGCGAATTCATAAGCAATGCAAAGTTATAATTGACGAGAGGTGTTCAAGAAAGATTGTAAAGATTTTGATATTGTCAACGCACTGAGAGGCTTCAGGGGAGGTTCTGGGACGTGTTTGATATGATTCTTGATGGTTTGTTGGTTGGTTGGTTGAACTAGCTACGTTCCGCACATAAACAAGATGAAAAGGCCTTTGGAATCACATAGCCGGATTACTTAGCAGCGCTGACAGATATACTTCTGCAAGGTTCTAAAAGATTTAGTCTACTTTGACAGTAATGATTGCATAAATCCTCAGTGCAAGATATATTAGGGCTTTTGAGACCTTATATCAATACTCTTAAGGTTTTCTTATGGCTGACGCTAGTTCTCTTCGCGACTTATGCTAGGGAATATCTATTAGGGCACTTTTGGAGTCTGCATAAGCAAAGCAGTTGAGACTAAATTACTGCCATTTTTCCTTATAGGGCCAACCTTACCTTTAATATTAGAGCGGTGTGTTGGAGCCACCCCCCACGGTCCCTTTGTCAACTTTCTGTTTTAGAAGTGTATGCTCGAGATATACCGTGCCTTGGTCGACGTATATTACTATATTAGGATCCTTTACTAGGGAATATTATATACAAAATTTTATATCAGGGTCACTTTTGATAAAAAGTAGTCTATTGAGCAGTAAAGCTGATTTATGCAAAAATACTATAGAAATAGGTTCATTGCAAATTGGCACGACTAGCGCACCGTGGCTATCCTTTTCTTTCCCAATTCAGACTACCCGCCGACGGCCAAGACACGCCGCTGGCCGAGACTCACCCGGTGCCGGAGTCATGTGGATCCGCCCAGCCAACGCAACAAACTTTGCAGTCGGTCATTATTACGGGAATCAGAAAGGAAAATCAATCTACGGTGGTTGAGCCTACTATGGGTCGACTATACATGGAGTCATAAGTATCGATCGACACCGAGTCCGGGTCCTGGTACCCCAGAACTGTAGGCTTCCTCTCAAGTTCGCCAAGCCATCCTCAGTCTCAATATGTTATTCGTTCCCCACACAAGGACAAGCCTCTGTTGCCTAGAAGTGGATACGAGCTGGCTGCCTAGATGACTCATTTGCTCAAGCTTCATGAATTGGCTATTAAGTTCATGCTGTAGAAAAGACTCCATTCAAGGGAAATATATAGTCAGTAAATACCACTATCAAGTTTCCCCATCAACACGAGTAGATAGCTACTGCCAACACGTACCCTTCCGAAACCGACTCACCACCCCAGAAACAAAACCAAAGCAACAACCTTCCACAAGCAGACAACAATGTCCACCCCACAAAACACCCTGGCCCAACACCTCAAATCTCTGCACCAGCCACACCGTCCATTAATCCTCGCCAACGTCTACGACGCCGCCACCGCCCAAGCCGTCGCCTCCCTGCCGTCCGCCCGAGCCATCGCAACCGCCAGCTACGCCGTCGCCGCGGCAGCCGGCACGTCGGACGAGGCCCTCCCGCTCGCCGAGCTCCTCCGCTCCGCGACCTCGATCGCCTCCGCCGTCCGCCCCACCGGCAAACCCCTCAGCATCGACATCCGCGACGGCTACAACAACGACCTCCCCATGATCGTCCAGGAGCTCCTGGATGCAGGCGTGGTCGGGGTCAACCTGGAGGACTTTGACAACGCCGCCCAGACGATGTACAGTCCCGCGGACGCGGTCCAGCGGATCCGGACAGTGCTGGACGCGGCGCGCGCGGCGGGCGTGCCGGACTTTGTGGTCAATGCGCGGTGCGACGCGCTCCTCTATGGCGGGACGCTAGAGGAGGTGGTGGCGCGCGGGCGAGATTATCTTGCGGCGGGCGCGACGACGGTGTTTGTGTGGGGTGGGGCTAAGAGGGGCGGGATTACGCGGGCGGAGGTGGCGCGGTTGGTCGAGGCGTTTGAGGGGAGGTTGAATGTTAAGGTTGTTCCGGGGGGGTTGTCTACCAAGGAATTGGCGGGGGTGGGAGTGGCTAGGGTGAGTGTTGGGCCGGGGTTGTTGGTCGCGGCGTTGGAGCGGGTGAGGGAGGTTGCTGAGGAGTTGCTGAGGGAATAGAAAGTCTGACGTGGTGAGTTCCGTCGGCCAAGGAAGGGTCTAGATGGTGGAAGTGAAATTTGATCGTGGTTGATGCTTGTGAGTGTGATTCGAAGAAGCAGGCGGCCACTGTGTACAGACACCTGCGAAAGCCTTGTCTTGAGTTGCAAGCTTCCGGACGAAGACTGAAATCTGAGATGATTCTGGTAGGTAATCTCAGATCCGCTGGTTCGATCATTACTTTTGAATATTGTCTAATCAAGTTCGGGTCTTGGGACCGTTTAAAATGGGAGGCACTAGAGTCATCTTAGTAGGAACTATATGATGCTAGCGAAAGTCCACGCACAACATCAGAGCACTCAGTCACGTACTGCAACCAATGCAAAAGATGCCGCTGATCTCAAGCCGGTTTTTGTGGGTGCTAAAATGTGGTAATTAAAGTAGGCTAACATCCGCGGACGGCCCGGCCCTTGGTCCCGATCTCCCCGTCGGAATGTTGACCCACTTGCCAGCACTTTTCCCCTTACATACAGCAGCTGGAACCGATATTTGACTGCGCTGTTTCAGAATATGTCCAAGCGCCCTGCCCCTCGACGCAAGAGAGAGAGAGAATAAGAAGAGCAAAGAACGATAAGTCATGTGTGAAATTCCTGCGTGGGTCCATTACTGGACGAAGAGAAATCAACCAGGGCGCTCTCGCAAGAGGCGATCGGCAAACCGAAGGCTCTGAATGGTATCAGTGTCGAAGTTATCGAGGAATAGACCATGAGAGGTGATATTGAGAGTATAGCCTCAGCCATTGTATGACTCCACTGGAGTTCCTATCATTGCTGTTTACAGCTCAATATGAGTTCTTCCCTCATGGAATCAGCGCGCGGTTTTTGAGCCCGAGGTAATCGAGCAATGTCTCGGCGTGGAGGCCTGGCCTCCCATTGGCTGGACGGCTCACCGCCTTCAACCGCCCATGTACGAGGTCGGCCAGTGTTGTACAGTACATATAGTTCGTTCAGTTCGATCTGCGTCAAAGATACGCACATGCGAGACTGATTCTTTCTCAGCCTACCAATCGGCCAGAACTTCGTCGCAGACCGATGCGCGCACCTCCAATTACTTATCGAGAATGAACTTCTGAGTCGAGCCGAGGCGACTATTCCTCTAGCTCTGCAGGTGTACATACCACGGGCCATTCGGAGTGGGCCTCGACGCGGGTCAAGAGCACGAAGACCGGGAAAGGCTTGGCGCGAGCGAAACGAAGCGTTACCTATTGAAGGTCTCAATAGCCCGCACGATTAAGCTTCGGCGTTGGTACCCGCCCGCGAGGTTTCATTGTTTGACACCGCGATACCCCGCCATGAGCGACTCGTATTGAAAAACCGTGGACAGATTTCTAATGGTGCCACGTATAATGGTAAAGCTACCTCTGAAGTGGGAATGATTCTCCAGCAGCGAGATCTGAAGTGATGTAGACTTTTATTCAGACTGTAGCCAAGACATATATATTGAGACAATCCCATCGCATTTGCGGTTGTCCCGTGCCCCGTACAGTCCCTGCATTCCTATCTCCATATGTAAATCATGTCGGCCAAGCCAGAGTTTGAACATCGAGAATCCGGCGAGTACCTGCTCAAGGGGGATCGCTACGTCGACCAGATCAATAGATCCCGGCGCTGGGCCTGCTTGCGCCCGCTCATCTACATCGGGGTGGTGGTTGTTGGCTTCGTCGAGATCATCGTGCTCTTGGTATACTTGGTCGAGTCGAGCAGGCAGCCGCCCCTACGCGATCTGAACGGGTTGGTCCCGGATTGTAAGCGCCCTCCGGTCTGCTGGCGAGATGTTCCCGCAACGACGGACGGCTAACAGACAGTTCCGTGCCCGACTTTTAGTCCCCACGCATCAAGTCCTCTTCCGGCTCGATCCCATGGCCGTCTCGGACCATCGAACGGAAAGCTCCAAGGCCGCCACGAAGGAGAATTGGCTTTCGTACATGCCGCGTGAGTTGGGTTAGACCGACACAATCGTGGTATCAAGGATTAATAAGTGTATAACTGGTAGGGGGTAATGGATTCATCGCGGTAAACCACACAGAACGGCTGGAATACGTCCTGTCCCCGCCGATCGAGAAGTTCGGCAAGAATCTGTACGCAGTGGCGGTCTTCCACCAGATGCATTGCCTGGTACGTCTGAGCAGGTCAAACCCCCATCAACTGAGCCCCTTCGTTTCAGAATCATCGTTGATTTTTGATTGGGTTTGATCTGATGAAATTCAAAACAACAGTATGCAATCATGTCCGCATACGACGATCTCGTCGCCGGCACCTCGTCCATGCACAAGATCCGCGAGGCGCATGAACACGACCATTTCCATCACCATGGACATAGCGATGATCCCACCGAGGGTCCCCACGGGCATGTGAACCATTGCTTCCAGTACCTGCGGGAGTCGCTGCTGTGCTGCGGCGACACCGCCCTGGAGGGCCAGGGCCAGCGGGCGCAACCCGGCACCGACGGGACTGGGGCCGTGCATGAGTGTAAGGACTTCGATGCGATCATGGCGTGGGCGGATGAGAGACGAGTTATGGACGGTAAGCATCCGTGAGAGCGCTTTGAGCGTTATCAGGCAGACAGAAGTAGAGCGAAGGACACTCAAGACTTTCATTATACTTGCTATGATAGTTGGTTGTCACGAAGTGTGGGATGACATTTACATTTGACTTGGGCGAGCGACAATGACAACTCAAGTGTATTCGTCCTCAATACCCGTGAATGCGGGAGGATCTCTTTGTCTACGTATACTCAGTTTGAAAGACATTTCGAGGATATTATCTATGGCTGTCAATTACGATGCGCGTAATCGCAGATTATCTATACCGGCTTTGATCAGGATGGAGAATTCCGAGCTATTGTATGAAGGCTTTGTCTGTTCCAGTGCTTGGGATAATGGAACTTCAATCCCACATGTAGAAGAATGCTAGATCCGATGCATTATAAATAGTATTTGGGTAAAATTCAGGGTCGTCAAGAAGACAGCAAGTCCGTATCATTGCCTGAAATTTATCTGAGTGTACATCGTCACACCATCATGGAGAGCCCCGACCCCAGCACTCTCCGCCTCTGCGCCACCGGCGACCGCGGGGTGTGGCAAGTCGGGGCCGACAAGATCCTCAAAGAATACCCCAGCGACGACGCCCTCTGCACCGAGGGCGCAGTGATGAGACTCCTGGCCCAGGACCCCGAGTTCCCCGCGCCGCGCGTCCTGCACGAGTGGGTCGGCAGCAACGGACGGTTCTTCATCCTCGAAGAGCGCCTGCGCGGCGAAACACTCCAAGACGCATGGCTGCGTCTGTCCCAGCCACAAAAGCGCGCGATCGCGGCGCAGGTGGGCCAGGTCCGCCAGCGGCTGCGACGGCTGACCTCGCCATGCATCCAGTCGGTCGGTGGCGGCGCATGCTATCTGCCCTACGAATGGGGGTTCCGGACCCGCGCGCAGGGCCCCTTAGGCTCGGACGCGGACCTCCGGGCGGCGATCCGCTCATATCTGACGGGACTCCTGGACCGGGAGCTGCCCGACCAAATCCTCGAGAACCTGATGGCGCGCATGCCCGCGTCCGGGCCGTACATCCTCACCCATGGGGACCTCCACATCAACAATATCATGGTCGATGCGGACGGGCGGCTGGTCGGCATCATCGACTGGGAGTACGCGGCGTACTATCCCATCTGATTCGAGTATCTCCTGGTCGCCCAGGGCAATGTCGACCCCGATGATGCGAAGGGGAAAGAGCTGCTGCTGCAGCAGTTCGAGGCACAGGAGGATGGCCATCCGGACACCGTGCAGTTCTGCGATAGTATCTTTCTCTTGAAGGGATATCCGTACCTGCATGATGGAGAACGCGAGCTGCTGGCGAAGCTCTGTTCGGGCCCGGATATGAAAAGAAGAAGCGAAATGGTTTTAGACAATAGCTAGGATCTACAGGTTCTGTTGTCTGGATTCAATCCCTCAGCGAGGATGCTATTTCCAAAGGAAGATACCCGAATTCTTTGGCTCGACAAATACAATAAAAACTCGAATGTATCTATCAACAAAACTATGAACATAACTATCTGGAGACATAATCACTCTATGGACAAAAAGTCAAGTTCTCTGTAATAAAACCCAACACACCAACAGTAAATGTGGCCCGAGACGAAGAAGCCCGTCTAAACCTCTGCCAACATCGCCAAGTTGCCAGGCCGGCTGAAGGTGACGTGGGAGAGGTGCAAAACCTTCGTATCGAATGCAGCCGCTGCATACGCAAAGTAGTACTGTTGTAGGGTGTCAGAACGGGACCCAATCCAAGGACAGAGACGTTTCGACTCACAATGTATTTCCGATAAAAGACATCCACGTCGTTTTCCGACAGGTGATACTTTTCTCGCAGAAGGGGGGCAATGATGCCCCGAAAGGTGTGCTGGAACTTCCTACTCCATTCGTTGAGACATCTCACATAGTGGGCGCCATATTGCTGCACAGAGTCTAGGTCGAGTCGAGCATTGGAATTTCGCACTGCTTCCAACAGTCTGGTGATACTGGGGCAGTGACCCCCGGGGAAGATCTATTCAGCGATGAAAGAATTAGGTCCATCTTTGCAATATACGAATTCTGACGAAGAATATACTTACATAACGACGAATGAACCTGGAATGAGACTATGAGTTAGGATCGCAGATAAATGAATGCTTAAGTTCGTCTGACACTTACCCCTCGCCCTTGGGGAACATATCCTTATATCGCTACAGACGGATTAGCTCGGAGATTGAGAAATTCAACATCTCCCGAGAAAGGCACTCACCGACTCCGGCATAATACTCGACTGAATCGAGACGATACCGCTATCTGGCTTGAGGAACTTATCTATTGTCTCCCAAAATGTCTGCAGCTCATGATCCCCCATCGCCTCCATCATCTCCACGGCGACTATCTTATCATAGGGCACCTCCGGCACCGGGAGCAGGCGATAGTCACACAGCAGCACCGTGACCTTCTCCTCGAGCCCCAGGGCGCGCACGCGCTTCTGCGCCCGCTGGTACTGCATCTCGGAGAGCGTGCAGGTCGTCACGCGGCAGCCGATCGTCGTCGCCGCGCGGATCGCCATGCTGCCCCACCCCGTCCCGAATTCCAAGAGGTGATCTGTGGGCTGCGCGTGCACGTTCGCCAGCAGTTGGTCCAGCTTGCGCATCTGCGCGGCCTCCAGGGTGTCGTCCGCGTGCCGCGGATGCGATCGGGGCAGCCAGATCGGGCAGGAGTAGCTCATGTCCGGGGAGAGGAAGGCTTCGAACATCCCGTTGGAGAGGTCGTACGCGGCGGCCATGTTCAGACTGGCGTTCTTGAGGGTGCCGGTGTCGACGGTGCGGAAGAGCACATCCGAGATGGCGGAGACGGCTCGATACGGGGTGGTGCTGAGGTTGGATAGGTGCTCTTCGTTTTCGATGAACAGCTGGAAGGGGTGGAATGGGTCAGCGCTGCGATTAGGGTTGGTGAGGTCGCGCAAGTTACATACCTCCATCAGTGCCATTAGGTCTGGGGTCGAGAATTCTTTCAACATGAAGGCGTCGGCGAAGCCCTGGGGAATTGAGCCGTGAGCGGGGTCTCGCTCGCGTGTGCTATCGATTACGGGTCATCAAGTCGACGCGGTAGAACGACTCACAAGGTCTGCCGATACAAGGACTCGGAACCAGAATGTATCGCTCTGGACATGTATGATTCCTTTATGTCCTCCGTTCCCTTCACCAAACCTCCATTTTCCCCCGTCGGGAGAGTAAATCTCCAGGATCCCGACTTTGATATTAGACAGAATCGATAGGACAAGGTTCCTGACTAGGCTGACAGGAACGGCAGCCGTGCCCAAGGAGATGAGGGTAGTTTGTGCCTTATCTAACAACTGCTTGCCCGTCGAGCCGAGCACACGTCCCAAATCCATTTCGGTGTCTCGTGGAGAATACTGCCGGACCAGTCTGCGTTGACCCGAAAGTTTGGACAATACCAACTTGCCGAAAGGTTAAGAGGCAAGATATGAATCGATCATGCGTGACAACCTGCGAGAGTGAGAGGGTGAAAGCTCAGATTTTATAGGCTCAGCACAGGCTGCGCTAGGCCAGAACTAGCCATTTTCACAAGTCGAGGAACACGCCTTGATGGTAAGGCCATGGGGCGTTGACCTGTTCTTGATTGCCTCATGGCGGCACTCCAACTTCAACAAGCGTCGGGGCGTTTTGCTTGCCACAGAATTACCGCTGGATATAGTAAGCATCCACACAGGGATTGGTCCGCCCCAGCCCAAGGCGTGTAATTTAAAGAATCAAAACTTCGAATGACACCGCGATTACGTCGCTTACTGGTGGCTGTAGCGGTCAGTGACTGACAGATAGGGCAACGACTCCACTATGCCGGTGGGATCACGAGGATACCCATGCCTTGTTCCTGGGCGCTGCATACAGGTTCCTGCGAACCACTCCAATGGATATGACTAGTCCTAGAACGTGATAAAGGAGAGAACCAGCCACCCCTATCAGCCTTTTACCCTGCCAAGCAGAAACGGTGTCGTTGTTGAATCGACATTGAGTTGACGAGACAGGTTTCAGTTAATGAAAGCATCCCGCAAATCGCACGGCAATGAAAATACAAGATACAGTGTGCCGTGAAATAATAATTCATAAGCGTGAAAATTTAGCGTGAATAGCGCCCTTCGATAATCTCGACATTCGTCCAGCTATTAGAGTACCAGAGACTGCCCTGGCCCGAGCCAGTGTCGGTCGTTCAAGGCTATAGATCGGTCTAGGAGGTCAGCAGAGGCAACTCTGAACTAGATTAATGCGCCACTAGCGTTCCAGACAAAGGAGCGTTCTTATCATGGAACAAAGAGAGTTATTAGTTCAGTCTGGGCTCGAACTATAAACGACAAATACTATAGCATAAACGCAAATTCCGAAAGACTATTCAGTAGAGCCTTCCTTCCGACGGTCGGTGGCTTATATTTGTGTTTATAGTGCTTCTCAGGCCGATGGGAGGTTTGCAAGCATCAGAAAGTCACTAGAGTGAGTTGTAGAGAGTATAGGAGATTGTGAGCTACTGAGCATCAAGGGTCTGTCACCCCTGAGATACAGTCAGCGTAGCGTGGCTAAGGCCAGGTACCCCGCTCGGCTTCCCAAAAGCGGTTCCGCCCGCAGGATTCGGGCGGGTTACCCCGCGGCGGGCTCGAACCCGGATGGGTCGGGCTCAAGATCTCGTATACGGGACAACCCTAAGGTATTCATGTATCAGATCTGTTGGCTCGCGTGATATTTTAGAATGTAAGCTTCACAAGGAACACGAATCTGACATCCAGTCGTGGTCCAATCGCACTGCCTATTGCCCTTAGACTGAGGTGATACGAGGGACGATAACGATTCACCGCGCTAAGATGAACAAAGAACAAGCAGGAGCCAGGGACATCGGCCCGGCCAGGTAAGAGCCTCGGAAATGTGCTTCGAGCATTACTAAATCGAGCCCATCATATCTCCAGGACGTCGTCTTTGTGTCTGTTCCTGTGTTCTAGACTCCAATGGAAATCGACCGAGTCGCGTGTCTATGCTCGCTCGAAAGCGAGATAAGTAGGTAGAGAACGAGATTTGCAACCCATCCGATCACAAAATTTGGTCCAGAGAACGTGGAAACCCAACTCGCAGTGTTAAGCAGACCTGGATGGAACCGATTCAAGCAATCTGCAAGTGGGGGCATGTAATGTATATCGAACCAATGAATCCACTTTTGGGGCACATGGCCCGAACCCATCTCATGCTAGCCAGCAAAGCTAAGATATGCACCCATGAATAATGACAACAAGCCAACAACCACGAGACAAAGCACCAACCCCCGCCCTTCCCTTTCACTTTCCCCTCCCCGCTTCCATCACCAAAAGCCTCACCACCCACCCCTCCCCTCCTACATCCAAAAAATGCCCTCCGAAAGCAAAACATACATCCTAACCGGCGGTTTCTCGGGCATCGGCCTGGCGATCCTCACGCACCTCCTCACCCCAAAACACCCAGACACCCCACCACCCACAATCCACGTCCTCGACCTCGCCTCCACGCCCCCAACCCTCCCCACCACCCTCCCAACCTCAACCGTCCACTTCCACCCAGACACCGACGTAACGTCGCGCGCAGGGATTACCGCCCTATTCGACCGGATCCTCGCGCACTCCCCGCAGATCGACGGCCTGATCAACAGCGCGGGGATCTGCCCGCCGCCAACAATCGGCGGAATTGAGAGCGACGAGGTCTTCGACCGGGTCCTGGATGTGAATCTGAGGGGAACATGGATCGTGGGGACGGAGTTTCTGAAGCACATCCTGAAGCAGGAAGACGCGGACGCAGCGGCTGGAACACCCGGGGTTGCGGGCGGCAAAGGGGTTTGTGCGCGCGCCGCGATCGTCAATATCGCGTCCACGGCGGCGATCTCGCCCCCGCCGGGCATGGTCGCGTACGCGACGAGTAAGTATGCGGTGCTGGGGTTGACCAAGGCGTGGGCCAAGGAGTTTACGCCGCGGGGGGTGCGGGTGAATTGTGTGGCGCCGGGGGGTACGCGCACGCCGTTGGTGGACTCGGCGTTGACGGAGGGGATGATCGATGCGTATGCGGAGAGCGCGCCGATGGGCCGATTGGCGGCGCCGGAGGAGATTGCTAGTGTGGTGGGGTTTTTGTTGGAGGGTGGGGCTGGGTTTGTGAGTGGGCAGATGGTAGTGGTCGATGGGGGGTTTTATTTGTGAGCTGAAGCTGGGGTTATTGATCCTTGAAAACAAGGAGGGGGGAATTGGCTATCCAGTCACTGCGTCAGATTCGAGGAAAGATATGGGCTGATCCTGTTGCTCTGGATGCAATACTGAACTACTTCGGTAGAGGTATTGGTACAAACCCAGGCTGTCACCCTTCGGCCAATCGGTGCACATACAGCCATAGAGCAATCAAGCAACCCCTTAATACGATGTTGGATGTGCACCATATTAAACACCATGTTGCACCATGGACCCGGTCCATGGTTCTCGAAAAGCCATTCCTGATCCCTGGACGTTGCCGACCGTTCCTCTATCAGGTCCACCCGAAGGTCTTCGGCCTCCTCTCTACTGATCAGATCATCACCACCCAGGTATCTTTTGACCATATCCTGCAGCTCTACTGGCAACCTCGTGAGCAGAACTTCATGCCACGCACGAGCAGTCTCCTCGAACCAGTCCGCTTGCTCTGGAGGCACGTTGACGGTCGAGATGATCTGAAACTTGGGATCTACCAGAAACGTGGTGAGGATTTCTGATGGCCCGATTCTGTCGAATTCGCTAGTCCAAACGGGAGCATTCAATGCTGGAGAATATTGGGAAATGTGAGGACACGGCCCTGGCAGCACTGCACGCTGCCGCCGGCTTGAGTGACAGGGCTCGATTCTCCGTCCCCGAAGACCATTGGATCCATTCACAAGGGTAACACTTACTGAACCGATCGGTCACGGCATGTTCGAGGTTGAGGCGTTGGGGAAAACAAATCCTGCCGGGGGTGATGTTGTGGTTGGAGTGGTAATAAACGGCAGCTGCGCAGGTTTGTTCGTTCTATCAAAGCGAATGTTAATGAGGTACCACCTTGGCTCCTGCTGGCACATGTGGGCGATGAGAGATACAAGGTTGAGAAAGAAAATTCTTGCATTCCAACTGTCCATCAATATGCCAAGATTCACCCGCATATGATGGCCTCTCAGGAGTCAACTCAATGTGAGTCATCTTGACAACAACCTGCAATCTATCGTGTGAGAATGTATCCTGTATGTTCACGTCCATGTATCTGGTAAGGCATGGGCAAATACCCCCCGATCGAGGGAGGAACGATTCGTCGTGAAGCCCTTCACTTTCTCGACGATCACACCAGCCTTTGGGCTTAGTATTCCCCTCGTCACAGGAGAGTTCCGATTCGCTGGGTTTTTCTGGCTCGGGGGTGCTTGGCGAAGCAGGCCCGCGATAGTTGATTCGGTTGTCTCTGCTCAGGTACACGTCATTAGTCAAGAATGTCAATGTGCTATTCTAGAAAAAGAGTGTACAGGTGATGTTTTTCTGGATGACATTTTAGAGCGCGCCATGTGTATTGGGATGAAAACTGTTGATGTAGGAAGTAATGCGGCAGTCGCCGTCAGGGTCGATTTCCACGTTACAAGGAAGCCATTGAAACCATCGTCTGACTGCTCTGTGCGGTAGGGAGAGAAATCCATCCGGGAATTCCAGTCTTCTTCTGCATCCAGGACTGGTATAACCTCGCCCTTTCCAACGTGTCCCATAAATCTGGGCGGTTGTTGACAGTGTCTCTCATTATGCGCGTGCGGCCGAAGACAAGCGGATATTAGGTATGGATGTACCAGATCAACTATCTGTTGGTCAGACCAGGTAAGATAGTGGCCATGACAAGCCTGAGACCAGTAAGCTTTCGGCGGGCTATAGAGACCCCGGTGCCTCACCCTCCAGTCTCCCCACAAAGTCCCATCGTCCTGGCAATCACAAGATGTTTGCTTTTTGCGCTGTCACACTCCACATCAACCACATCATGATCTACATATATGGTCTTGTCTCATGCATGCTCTTGACGGGCTGCAGGGGTATTGATCTTGTTCGAAGTTCAGTCAGACGCTCTGTTGAACAAATTCGGGTCCCACCCACAGGTGAGATTGACTTTCAAAAACACCGAGACGTCTGAGCGACCTATCATCGCCGGTCCTAGCTTTGCCAACATGCCTGTCTACAATACTGACTCGACCAAAGGGCTTAGGAATGCCATCTTCGACTTCATCATCATCGGCGGAGGCACCACCGGCCTGGTCGTCGCCAACCGGCTGACCGAGCGATCCGATATTCGCGTCCTGGTCCTCGAAGCCGGCACTAACCGACTCGGCAATCCTCGCACTCAAATCCCAGCCCTGGGACCGACAACATACGCAGACCAAGACTTTGACTGGGATCTACCAACCTTACCACAGGAACAACTACATAACCGCTGCTTGTTTGGGACCAAGGGCCGCACGTCGGAGGGTCCTCTGTCATCAACCAGGGACTGGTAGTCTACCCGTCGCAGGCTGGGATGAATGCCTGGGAGCAGCTGGGCGATCCCAGTTGGGGTTGGGATGACTTCTTAGCACGTGCCGATGATGTATATCGGTTGAATATTCATCAGACCCACTAGCTTCAGTGTTTGCAGCGCCATGAGAATGAGACTCTCGTGCCGTCGGAAATCGACTATACTGTAACTACCGCCACATTCGAACGCAGTCAGTGTAGTGTTTCTGAATAGCCAAATTACGTTGCGCGAGCACTGAGGATACATCCGTCCGCATGTAACCAAGCATGAAGCATGACGGTCGGAATAAGCGCAGACCGAATCGAGTTAGAGCCTTTCTGCCGTGCGACACCGGCTCCATTTTGCCACACCCACCTTACCATACTAGTGTACATAGTAGTACACGCACCCTCATCCTTTCTTTGATTAGGCTGGAATCAAAAACTGCCAGTCCGCTGGCTCTATCCGAGGCTACATTTTGCGACAACCAATCAGCTCATACCCCTCCCCAAAAGAAAATCAAGAACTTCCAGAGTCATTCGTCATGAAAAGTGGTCTATCGCTAAAGTTCTAGATGAACTGTACGTGCTTTTTGTATATCATGCGCTAAAGCCTCCTCTTCAAAGCCTCCTACTCCACAGCCGGCTTCTCCGGCTCCGCGGCAGCACCGGGGTGGCGAGTACCCTTGTTCTTGACCTTCTTCTGCTTCTTCTCGACGACGGGAGGCGGGTAAGCCTTGGCGGTGATCTCCTGCCACTCGGTGGAGGCTTGGTAGGCCGCCTGGATGGGAGCCATGAGGTTGATGAGGCCGTCCGCGACGGCGGGCTTGAGCATTTGAGGCGTCAACTGCACAGGGTTGAGGTTAGTGGGGAAGGTGCAAACGGAGGGGGAAAGTGGGGCAAGGTAGGCAAAAAACATACAACATCGTTCTTGTAGTCCTCCTCGAGCTGCTTGATGTCGGTATAGATCAAGGGCTCCTGGTCCTTGCGCTCAACGCGGAACTCCTTCTTGCCCTTGAGGTCGGCGGCGGGTAGGAGGACGTATTCCACGAGGGCGATGACACCGTTGCCTTCGACGACCTTGGGGGCAGATTCGGCCTTCTTGATCTTCTTGGAGATGCTGTCAGCCGAGTCGAGCAGATCGATCTTGCTGTCTGTTTGGTTGGTGCAGGTGTCAGTCCGTGGCTTGCGCGTGATAGTGAGAGTGAGTAATACCTTCGATACTGGAACTCATCTTGGCGCCCTTCAATCCGCTGATCATGGGGTTGATGAGATGTGCGCGCTAGATTAAATCCATCAGCCTTCTGCCAATCCCTAGCAAGATAAATGTAGGCGGATATACCTTGCGGTACCCAAGCTTAGGCAGCCACTCCACGGCAGCGGCAAAGAGTTTGCGCTGATCCATACCTCCCAGCTGGCAATCCACCTTCAGGTGCTCCTCATCCAAAACCTGGAGCACAGGGTAGAGCAGACCACTCAGGGGCGCATTGTCGGTCTGCTTGACGACCTCCGCACCGGCCTTCTTGGCATCCGACTCGGAGATCAAACTCGACAGGCGGTAGACATCCATGACATATTCGGGGGACTTCTGGTAGGAGCTGCCGAGCACGAACTCGAGCTTCTCGGTCGACACGCCGACAGACTCGAGAATGGCGGTGATGATCTTGCGGTAGTACTGGGCGCGGTTGTCCACCAGCTCCAGCGGGGCCTTCAGGTTGTCGAGGAAACCGTGGATATCGGCGAGCAGGACGACAACGTCGCATTGGGCACGGAGCAATTGAGCGATCTTAAGGGCAGCGAGGAAGTAGCCGACGTGGGGTCTGCCGGTGGTGGCCGTTCCTGATTTGAGGGAACCATTAGTTGGTATAGGTAATACAGCATGGTGTTTAGACTGACTCACCCCAGTAGATGCGGGGATGGCGGCCCTCGGCCAGGATACCCTCGAGAATCTCGGGGTTCAGAACCTCAGCGAGGTTCTCTTTGATAAGATCATAACGTGCCTGCGCTGCAGAATCCATCGTGACAAGCCAGAGCCGGAGCCAGAGAATGGGATTGGTGAGGGGAGAAAGGCAAACGATGGGCAAGTGGGCTGATAAGATGGTGGGATGGTTTTCTTGAGGCGGGCGCAAGCGGAACAATACTTCTTCCGTCTGCAATTTGAGTCAAGGTGGCGCGGCAGATGCAGGCGGTCAACGCCGGCAGATACTTGTTCCGTGTTCCGGAAGGCTGGGTTCCGAGGTTCATTCCGCACCAATCGGCAGCCTTCCGCTGACCCTCCGTACACATACTTGACTATGGCGTTTATTCAATCATTCATTTCAAACATGTCGCTCCGTCGCTTTCCTATACTGTAATACTTGCGAGCAAGGCAAGCTGTCAACTGTCACAGAGTACCTTTTTCCCCAAGCTGTCCCGCATCGCATATTTGACCTAAGCTTGCAATTCCGATAGCCTGTGGTTTAAGTTCTACATAATTTGAGATAGTATCTTAGCCTTTACACAAGTCTAACGTTCTATTACCTCATTTTTCCGAATCTCACCACTATGATATTTATGCTTTTCTTTTTTTAAACATTATGGGGATATATACTTTGGATATATCTTCAAGGTGTACAGTGAGTCGAAATTAGCCCTGCACCCTTAGAATACTACTTACTATCTACTTCAATGATTCTTATCCAATTTGTCAGATAGCCTCATATGGCTGAATTCATCACTCTTCCACCCCACATCTTCCCATACCCCTGATAGATTCTATCTCCAGTATTGTTGGCTGCTATAGAGCGCTCCCCTGGCTTCAAGACGTAGCTATCCTTCACCCTGTTCTACAGGGTGTAACTTATCATTGAAGGTCCTTCCGCATGAATACTGTCTTCGTATCCCATATCTTCCCATTTTTATCCGGGACATCGTAGTAGTTCTGCACAATTTTAAGACATCCATAACCCCGGCTCCTATACCAGTCCTGATTAGGAATCTGCACGATATGTTTAGCCAAGTCAAATATCAAGTCGACACGGATGAGCGGTCAATCTCACCTTCGGAACGCGTCCATAGGTAGCCTTAGCGAACTCCTCTCTCAGTTGGTCTTCTCTCTCGACCGTGTCTAGCATTAACGTTTTCGCGCACAGGGGCTCGCGGACGGCAATTCTCTCGATTTCATCCATGGCTGCTCGCCCAATCCCGTTACTCTGGAAGGCATGTCGAACAAAGAAGTTTTTGACCCAGAAGACTTTCTCGGACCCAATCCCGAGGTCCACTTTCTCGGCCTTCTTGTTATTCGAGTCCAAGGCAATATGTCCAACCGGGATGAATTCTGCTTGGGTGGGTTGGCGGGGTGTTGCACTGATGGATGCGGCCGTGTCCATCAGCGTCTCGCGCTCTCCTCCTCCCACGAGTTCATCGACAGGGAGGACCTAGAATACAGATTCCCTGGTTGAGCCTCTTCTCGAAGTCCCGCAACGCTGATGTGGACCATCTGATCAATATTAGGGTGTGTCTATGGGCGTAGAACTCACAATCCAATAGATGCACTTGTCGCCCCGAATCTGTTCATCCCTCCATATCTCTTGAACCATTTCCATATCCCAAGAGCATTCTACTCGCTGTTTGACGAGCAGAGCGCGATGAGGCTCGGAGAGTGGATCCCAAGGGATCAATGTTGCCTCTGTTCTCGAGCTCATTTTCGTGCTTCAAGCCGGCTGCGGGAGTATACTAACAATAAATAATCTGCAAGGGAATGGTAATCGACGTGAGGATTTCAGATCTAGGGCCAATGACCAGGGGGAGAGATCTGGTTTATGAATCAAGTTGGGGTGGAGTAAGTCAAAGTGAATCCAAAACCTAAATTTAGACCTGCGCAAACTGCAATCCCGCCCAAACCACCAAAATGTGGGGTTAAGCTAGACTAATTCGAGGGCAAGCGTTCTTCCCCCACTGCAAGCAGGTTTTTTCACCTAATGAAACACTGGAAACGGATTTATTAATACTGTATAAGATCTTTGAGTCCCTGTTTATCTTCGAATTATCGGGACTTTTAGGGGCTGAAGGTTCTGTTATTACAGTTCTATATTAGAAAGTATCTTTAACTCTTTCCTTTATATCAGGGTGGCTAGGATCTATTATAGATTTGGTTTAAAAAATCCTTATTTTAGTGTATATCTAGTTCTCGACAGCGAAACTGTCCTATACTAAGATAGTATCGATAAATCTGTTTCCAGGATTCTGATTAATCTAAAAAAGGCCTGCAGTGGGGGAAGGGGTGTTGGGGGTGGGGGTGGTTGGTTGTCTTTTCGCCTACGCTGGGTGTCCTATGGTTGGTGCCAATTAAGAAGTCCGTGTATCCTCTACTTCCTCTCACGAAGAAAGGATGCCAAGATTGATTTTGATTCGATGCTTACTTGGGTGGATAAGCCTTGATGGATATGGCTTGGCGAATACGACTCGTAGGTTACGACTCGTAGACTACGGCTTGGTGGATCCGATCCGTTAGGGTGCTGGGAAGCACGCTAGTTCAAACTCCTCGATACTCCTCTTGCGCATACCTCGAGCGTTTGATTGGGCGGTCTATTGAAGAGTGCTATTCTTGCTTGGGATTCGTATCTCGCTTTATGATCAGTCTAAATCAAGGAATACCTGCAGATCATACAAATTTGCACGAATTTCACATCTGATACCGCCGTTACTCGCCCAAGCGCCTGCCAAGTAAGGCAAGACGAGGACCTTGAAGGTCAGTGAGACGGCAAAGTCATTCTGATCACCCGATGTTCATCCGGCCTGGGCGTCGAGACTGCTCGAGCACGGTGCAGAACAAGTGCTACATTGTATATTTACTGCACGAAGCATTGATAAATTTGGGCACTCCGAGCCGTCCCCCCCGGTTCGTTTCTTGCATCTCAACCTGAGCTCCCTTAACCTTGTCCGCGCCTGTGCAAATACCTTCAAAGCAAGTTTGCAGAAGGGGTAAGGCCTTCCATTAATGGGCTATGGTTGTCTAGTCACTCACGCGTGTAGCTTATTCAGTGGACAAACTTGATGCCGGTGATTTCGGCTGACTTGCGGGTGTCAACCTACGGTGATGCCGAACATTTTTCTGTGTCATGATCTGTTCACCTCAAGGCTCATACAACACGCGGTATTTTGGCAGTTTTGCATTATCGATTGTAGTCATCGACCTCTGGTGCCTTATCACTCAAAACTCCCCTACAGCATCTATGGAGAAGCTGCTGGCGGCCATCATATCATCCCAAGCCAAAGAGTTGCCCTCGATACAATCCGTGAATACCGTCTCGCTAGATTGGGTCGTATCGTGGTCTAGCAGTTGTGGGCACTGTGAAATTGCACTGGTGATAGAGCCTTGAAGGTACCTGGTGTTTTGAGAAGGAGATGTCGAGGCCCAGACACCATGCCCAGAAAGGGCTTGTCGCCCGTCGGTATCCAAAACACCACCCACTGTATGTGTCGGGCATCCAAAGCTTTCAGGTGCTGCTGGAGGCTCGGAAACAACAAGAGAACCGCCCCGCGCAATGCTCGGGGGTCGGGTGAATAGATAAGGTTGCATGCAAAAGTTTGAATCATCCGCTAGGACCCGCTCGAAAGCCTTGGATAATTGGAGCTCGCCATTTTCCAATGTGAGCTGCGAGTACTGGGGGTCGATGTCTGCATTGTGAACCTGGAACCCCCGAATCAAAGTCCTCACCAGGTCCTCACTCTCGTAATGCTTCCAGCTGCCTCTCAACTGCTGGTGAAGGTGAGGCCTGTATTATTGTTCAATAGACTTATAGTGACTCGTTTCTAAGGCTCGCACTCACCAAAGAAGAAAGTCAATGTAGCCAGGATGGTCATGGAGGATCATGGACGGGGTCGGACGGTACCATGGTAAGCATTTTGCAAGGTTTTCGACAGACGGGAATACAAACAACTATCGGATACCGGATAAGGATCGGCCCCCCTCTTCTATCTGGGTAAGGGGATAGGGATCATACCAAAAGGTGCCGGTACTGGGCCCAAAATATGGCCTCAAGCTCCAGGTGCGAGTGAAAGCAGCCGCGCCACGGCCGTATGAGCTGGTATGCCAGGTAAGCCGTTTTGCGAAACAGAATTCTTATAGGAGATTCTATTCTATTAGTAGGTTCCGAGCCATATACTTGGAGTTGATATGATGGGGGGAAGACTGCACAGTCTTGAGAGAGCTGCGCTAGGAGAGTCGGATAAAAGTTATTGGTGTTTATGGTTGAGATCACCACGTCTAGGGCACTAGGTAAGTGCTTCTAATCAGTAATCCAGGGGAAGCGCCTTACCATTTTTGGTGAACCCGCGCAGACTGTAGTATTGGACCAGGTAATCCATTCCATCCGTCAGACCCTGTGAGTATTTCCAAGCCATCACGCCTTCGATAAAGTGATTGGACGTGAGCCGTGACATGTCATTACCGTGAGTATCCCTCATTTGTTCTATGGCAGAGAGAAAGATCGAAGGTTGCCGTGAGAACATTTTTCCAGCATCGGTCGGTATTTCATCCGCCATTGAGGTGCTTTTCAACCTAGAGGGCGACAGGCCTGGGTTTTGTGGACAATGGGAGCCTACGGGATTCGGCATATCACCAACCTCCAAGCATTGCGTAGAGATACGATGAATCTGACCGAGTCGGGCTTGGAGAAGATTCAACTTGCTCTTTAATCCGTCATTCTCCATCAACGTCCGCTCCAGCAGGCCCTGGTGGTCACCGCTAGAGAGCAGGTTCATCTTCTCCTGTAGCTGTGCGGCATCCTGCTTGGATTTCCGCCGCGTCCGACGTTGAGAGATCCGATCGACATGCCGTTCCCTTTCTAGCTGCTCGTCGCTGAACTTGGACTTCCAAGCGGCTTTTCTGTCGACTTTCAACGACCCCGGTGCTGTCGATTCTGTTCTCGGTGTCATCACGGGCTTGTTGTTTGGACCGTTTGCCCGTTTGCACCAGACCCAGTCCAATAGATTTCCTGTGCCTTAGGTTGGCAGCCTCATCGTCCGCTTACTGTTGAGAGAATAGTCAGATTGACTGACGCCGGTGAGAGGGAAGAGAGATGGCTTTGAGGTAACTGTACCGTCAGGGGAGTTTTTTTTTGTTTTTTACCTCGGCCCTTGAGTTCTTGACCGCCTTTAAGGCTTAAGCACATCAATACCTTTAGGCAGCAAATACTAGTGATCTTATCGACGATATCCCTGCCATGGAAAAGACTGTAATCCTCTCGGATATTCCTGTTGTGGCTCTGTTAATCTATCTGGCAATTGTCCCTGTATTGTACAGTCATCCAAATCACCCGCATCTCACCTAAATCTCGCGACCGGAAAGCGGCCTCACCCTAATCTCACCAGGGGCGGCATCCCCCAGCGTTTGGCTTAAGCGTGGCCAAAAGCTGGTAGATTAGTCGTATGGTGGGCGGCCACGTTTGAATTCACACTGTTGTATGTCTGTTTTTTTTTTTTTTTTTTTTTTTTTTTTTTTTTTTTTTTTTTTTTTTTTTTTTTTTTTTTTTTTTTTTTTTCGGTTTGCTCTATCTAGTTTGCTCCAACGCCC